CAGCATATAAAGAAGTCTTCTGTCAGTTTTAACATAGCCTAATGATTTCATTACATGATCATAAAGGGCAAACAGGAGCCAATTTCTTTTTATAAACAGCATCTGTAAGTGCTCTGTCATGAGAAGGAAAAAAAAATGTAGTCACCCCAGAATATTTAAAATAGTAATATGAGCTCACTGCAGCCATGGTGTAAACTTTATTTTCTAAGCTGATAAGATTGTCTTCTTATTTTTAATAGAATAACTATTCTTTTAATAGTTATTTTGAAGCTCATTGAATATTAATTTAATTTATTTTTAAATACAATTACAACTCTGCTGTTTTGGGACAGAGCCACTCTCTTAGAGCAGTTTAACTTTCCGCAGCCTTTTCACATAGCCAGAGTTGCTATGAACACAGCATATGGAACTGCTTTTCTCTGTTTTCTTTGTTCTATCTCATAAACAGCCATGGCAATTTACAATCCCTTGAAATAGGGGCTTTGTAAAGTAAGCAAGAATAAAATCTGCCTTACACAACTGCCAAGTAGTAAGCCTCCTGCTTTGCATGTACACCACTTGTTTTTTCTCCCTGGACACTGTTTCCGATTATGGTTACTGCAAATGCAATGTACAATGTGCAGACTAAGTAAATACATGAGATACATTGGTGGGTTTTCTAACTGTCATCTCTTTCAGCCAGGGAGATTCACCATGCAAATAAAAGAAAATTAAATAGCAACAGAGTTTGGGATTTTTAGCTATACAAATACCAAAGAGAAAAAGGAATGAAAGACACTCAGTTAGGGCAGAGGTAAGATTCAAGATGCTGCAGGTTTGGCTTGAACAGGAGCCCAGTGGGGGACTTCAGGCTGGTACTCAGGGCTGCCATCATGCCCCAGTACAGGTGCCATTTAGTCTGTGAAAGATCCATGCCATTTTTGGCTGAAACACCAGGGGCATTTACAATAATAAAATTCAAATAGAAAAAAATGACACCATCACCAAAACCAGATTCTGTGAGATTACAGAATGATCTGCTGTGTCGATACAGAATCCAGTGGTTACCACAATACCCTGTGAGCAAACAGCAGTTCTCCATGGTCACTGGGTCCCTACAGGCAGAAAGAAGTAAAAACTCGCTTTTGTGTCAATCCCATTGTCTCTAAGTAAAAGGAAATCTTTCAGCTGCTGATAGCAATGCCCCTACACTTTTTCTGTAGTACCTCAGCATGCACTTTGCCAGAACAATCCTCCTTAATATGTTCAGAGCTTAAAATACATCACTGATGTAACAAGTACAAAGAAATTTCTTTCTGTTTATGCTACTATGCAAATCAAACATGTCAGTTTTCTTGATGATTTTAATCAAAACAACATTTGCATATGAAGTAGCTTTATGAAGCTTTTCTAAAAATCAAGGCAGTCAATTCCAAAAGTCTTTTTCTGACTGAGCAGGACTCTCACTGTTACATTTGACATCCCCTCTCTCTTTTACTGAAGAATATGTTAGCAGTGGGCAATGCCAGCAAATGGACAATGCCTCAAAACTCCCTGAGCTGTCTCCTCTACAACCATCAGTGCTTACTTTTTGGGCTGCCAAAACAGGAAATGTTATAAAAGCATTTGCCAGTGACCAGAACTGCTGACATTTCTTTTTCAGATGAAAAGCAGAACAGATATAAGGGGTGGAAGGCAGTCAACAGGCAGAGGATATATGAGATTAGTTTGCTTTTCAATGAAGACCTGGGTCTTTAAGGAGGTAGGAAAAAAGGAAAGAATAATATGAATTTTATTTCTCACCAGCATAGCTACGGTATTTCAGTGAAAGCTGATGAACTACTGAAGCTGTACACTGAGGGGCAAATGCAGAGGCTCTTCTGTCTCCTTTGTTAGCCCCCCTTCCTTTGCTCTCCATTTTCCGTTTTGTAACTTCTCCCCTGACACTTATTTTGGGTTTATCTCTCTTGTATTTCTTTCTTTTTGTCTGACTGACACCTATCACCACAGAGTATCACAGATCTAGCCTTTGATATATTTAGCAGCTGCTTTTAGATGCTGCGTAGGAGCCAAGATCTGTACATTCCCCATAACACCAGGAGGTGCTTACTAAGGGAAGGAGGCTGAAATCTCTTACATCCTGTAACGTTCAAATCATCTGTAAAGCCTGTGCTATTCAAATGCCAGACATTAGTGCTTAAGTGCTTGTGAAGAGTTTTTTGATAGTGGAGAGAGATGGTAAGAAGGAAAATAATGTCACCTTCCCAGTAACCTTCTCTATATTTGGATACTGTCTTTTGCAGAAGCTGAATCATAAAATGCTTCACCCCCTGACACACAGTACTGAACACGATAACAATACTATCAGCAGGTGATAATGGTGGATGACTAAGCCAGCAAGCATGGAAGGCACTAGAGAAGAAGGCAGGGGCTGGATAAAGGTCTGTAAAAGCATGCTGTCAATTCCATTTTGCCTTTCATTTTGTTTCCTATTACATTATTGAGTCAATCCATGTGATGGAGAGTTCTATCTTCTTGTTGCATCCAAAGTCAGAAAGGAGAGAATAAATGTTTGCATGAATGTGGGCTAATTTTTCTCACAAAGGTCACTGTAATGGACCCTCCCACAACAGGCAAGACAAAAACAGGGTGGAGCTGGGACCTAGGTTCCCTACCTCCCTGTGCAGACCTGGTAAAAAACATCAGCACAAAGAAGCTGCTGTACTTTGTACAGCACAAGATGCCAGTCCCACCCAAACAGATTTGATTTTATTTATCATGATTATTTATCTGCATTACTGCAGTCACCTCAGAATCTCAATTGGACACAAAACCCCACGTGTTCCCCATATCTGAATGCTTACAGATTAAGGGACTTTTGCTTGTAAACTATGTCAGGGATGAAAAAATTTTTGTACAGAGGTCTGGAGAGTTGCTCTCCCTGACTTATTCACCATTAATATTTGGCATCATGTGAACAAAGTGCTGTGTTCTTCTGCCATGTCAGGTGCACAGCTGGTCATTTGAAGGGAAGTAACTGCATTTTGGTCACACAAGAGGTGTATATCTAGTCTTATAGCAGGATATAATAAAAACAAGACCTTGCAGAGAAGCCCAGATAGATGACATCGATCAGTCTTCCCTTGTCAACTGATGCAGTCAATCCATCATAGAAGGTCACCAGATTGGTCAGGCATAATTTGCCCTTGGTAAAGTCTTCCTGCCTGTCTTGGATCACTTCCTTGTCTTGCATATGCCTTGACATTGCTTCCAGGAAGACCTATTCTATGATCTTCCCAGGCACAGAGGTGAGGCTCACTGGTCTGTAGTTCCCCAGGTCCTCCTTTCTATCCTTTTTTAAAATGAGAGTGATGTTACCCTTTTCTTCCAGGCACCAGGGACTTCATCTGATTGCAATGACTTTTCAAATAGGATGGAGAGTAGCTTGGCAACTCCACCAGTCAGTTGCCTCAGGACTCTGGGATGCATGTCATAGGGTCCCATAGACTTGTACCTGTTCCTTTTCATCAGGAAACATGTCTGGTGAGGCTAGGTCCGAGACCCCTATCCTGTAAGCAGGATACTGTGGGTAGGTAACTCACAGAACAAAAGGTTAAAAGTGAGACGTTACTTAAGTATATGATGGTTTCAGCCCACCCATAGCTGCATTTTGTGAAAATCTTGAAGATGTCATACCAAAAGAAAATGTTAAGAAAGGATGTAATTTACTATTTCCATCTGATTTAGTGGTATGTTTTAATTTCACACATGAGAACAGTTTTGAATTAGGAATGCTAAAGCTCAGCCTTGTGGTAGCAATCAAGTAAATATGCCTTTCTGGAATTACTTTTAAACTATTCCCCATTCACTTGAAACAATTGTACATGAAACAATTCAAGATACTGAATGTTTTAATTTGGCCATTTTCTGGTGAAATTTCCAAACTTCTTAATTGCAACAGTAGTGATCTTACCCATGCAGAATACTTTTAAATAACTATGCAGTTGAAGTGTTTTACTTTTTCATAATGCTTCTGCCTCTGTGTGTCAGCACCTCAATTCTTAACAAGTAACCTCAATATGTGAGGTTCAGAATTCTCGTGTGAATCCTCAGCGTTTCAGACAGTAAATGTACCTGTTCAAACACAGATACAGAGCCCAGACTGCCACAATGCCAACAACCATTCTAACCAGTGCAGGGAATTGTCCTCATAACGAGCAAACAAAGACAAAAAATAAAAACCTGATGTATGAACAGGAAGCTGAAATGCATTTTTTTTTTTTAATCTTACAGATATTTAATGGAAAGCTCTGAGCTTGTGATCTTTCCAAATGGTTTGGCCATTACTAGTAGAGCTGAACACGACTTTAACAGCATGGGACACAGAAGGGGTTGCGTGCTGGATAATTCCATGAAAAAATACAGAGGCTAAGCAGCACCCAGCACTGTTGCAAAGGTCTGAGGAACTTCGACAGTCACACTAGTGAACCTATATTTTATCAGAGTACCGTTTACAGAAATACTGCAAAACAAACCAGTCAACAACTTTATGGGAAGATACACACCCTTAGACTGAGAAGGCACTCTGATTTTTCCCAGTGATGTGAGAATCAGAGAAATATTACTGTGCAAAGCCACCACTTCTGAAAGCAAAACTGGAAAGCTTCTTGTTTCAACACAAATACTTAAGGCTTTTTTTCAGGATGAATCTTGGAGAAAGATGCATGTCTAAGCATTTGCAAAGCAAATCTCACATCTAAAAAATAAGGAAAGTTTACAGACATTTAGCATAATTTGTTTGAGTACAAGACAGGAGTTTTCAACCCTCTGTCTTTAGTCGTGATTTCTTCTAAAAGCTCCTGTACCTTTGAGGCCATGTTACATTTCAAGCCATTAAATAACGCTGTTTTTTCTCTTGATCCTTTTCAGGAATTCTTTAATAGTGAGTTCCTTTCATCCAACCTTCCCCTCATCCCCCAAAAAAGTATGCTTGACAGTGCTATATATCACCAAGACAGATATCCATGCAGTATCAGCTTTATTTATAAAGGATGGATTAGACATGAATGTCACACTTCTTTAAAAAGTTTAAATTAACTGACTAACTGTCGAAAACTGCCCAGGTGATGCTATTTACATAAAACAGTGCCGACCTTTATTCCCAAAATTTAAATGAAGCAAAACTCTGGAAAAAAAAAAATACAATATACATGCACGCCAATTTCTACTAGTTATCTTGTAAACAGCAGTCTAAATCTCTTACAGTCACTGTAATTAGCTTTTCCCTGTGAAGGAACCTAAATTTGCTCTTTGGCACAATCATACTCCTGTCTCCATTTCAAGACCAGTACTATCATGGCTTCAGCCACCTAATGGCATTTCATCAGTATAAAAATCAATGACCATCTGACTGGCATATCTAGCAAGAAATATTGCCCAAATATTACACACCTTCTGGCAATGTCTACACTCATCCTTCCTGCACTCAGACTGAGCAAAGTAAACACTGATTCCGTAAAGACAAAAATGATGTCCAAAACTCAGAGAACATTTCCAAAAATCTAAACAAGGACTGTGATCACTGACTTCACATTTAGAGTGTACAAAATACCATGATGCCTCATGCCTTTCTAGAACATGTCTTTAGATTGCCACCTAAATTCCTCTGAGTCACAGTCTCTATTTTCTCACTTTTTTGAAGCACCTTGGCAAGAAAATATCCCCAGAAAGTGTATTGGGATGGTTTCAGAACCATCTCTTCTCTGTTTTGACTGCACTGGGCCCAGCTTGAAGTCTGTAGTCAGTGCAACAGTTCAGTCAGAGGCCAAAAAACACCATCGTTTTAGGTGTAAAAAGTCACTTGCAGGTCAGTCTCACCGTTTGGTATTCTCAGTTGTGTCAGGTAATTTCATTTTCAGGTTTAATTGTTCAGATCTCACTATTAAGTCTATTTTCTTGACTCTTCTTTAAGCTAATAAAATCAGACATATATTTATGATTTCAACCCACAATTCCTCTATGGTAAAACTGTCCAGTACGGTACCTGTTCAAAAATTAAGGCTCCAATGGGTTTCCTATTTTTTAAGAGTTATACTTTACATAGACTTTACTTCATATAAAAAACCTACCTGGATCAATCAGTAGCAATATACTACAAGACTAACAATAACCTGTTGCTTTGTGCCAACTGTTAGATAAATAAGACTCATAAAACAAAATCTGTACCTAGTTTTTCATTTCCTATTTTGGGAATGTACAAAAAGTTTTCTAAAACTCTTGCTTATAAACTTGTTTGTGTTGATTTTTTGCCACAGAATAAATGCATTCATTGACCTTCTTTCTGATCCAAAATAATTTCTGCCACATGCAATGATAACTTTCTGCATCTTTCCCAGGAATCAAGAATTACTTCCATCAGACATTTGAAAGAAGAGTCACTTATAGTACTTGGATATAAGAGGATAAATTGATTGATTCTAATAAGCAATGTCATCAAACAGTCCTGTTTTTCCTAAGAAAGCAGAGCCTCTCAGAAGTCATCTTGTGAGATGGTGGCAATTAGTCTCTTGTCATTAATTTTTTCCTAGTTATATAGAAAACTTGTCTAATTCCTATTAAATATGTCGTCCGGTCAGGAAGAAAAGTGGTCTGTCCTCTTTTGCATTGGCAGTCTGGAATTCATCCCTCAGTCGGAACTGCCACTCATCTTCCAGCTCTAGCCGGACAACAGTCTGGCGAAGAGAATTGCGATCTTGACAAATAACACACAGGGTGGCACCTAGGCAAACAATTAAAAAGAAACCCATGTGAGTATCACCTTTGTTCTCAAATCACCCAGCTCCCACCACCCCTTAGCAGAGGGAATGTCCACCACTTTCAAAACAGGAGTTACAGATGTTCTTAAGAGAAAATTAGGACACATTGGATTTCAGAGAGCTACGTTTAGCTCCCTATTAATCAGGGTCTTCTTGTGTAGCCTGAGATGCCTAGTACTCATCTGGTAAACAGGACAAGCAATACATTCCTTACACCTTGGGGTAAAAAAGCATAAAAATGTCAAGTCTAAGCAGGTGGTGATACGTCCTGACAGAAAGCAAGGTAATGCCCTACATCCATTACTGTTCTAGCCCTGCTGATCATCATTACCTCGTTGAGTGAAACCTCAATCAACAAAACACTTAAACCCACAAGACAATCACCATAATGGCTGATTAAGCTCTGTGTGCTTTGCTGACCAGAGATGGTTTAATATCAACTGTTTTGACTGGCATTCTGATACCATTTCTTTCATGACTTCCTGTCTTATGAAAAGAAGTACTCAATTAAGAGGAACCTCACCTGCACCCAATACTCTGAAAGAGAGGTGGTGAAGTAGGAAGAGATACCCAAGACAAAACCAGCTGAGAATACAGTAAAAAGAAACAAGACAGTCAGGTGGTGTTTAACACTCAGGTAGCTGGCTAGAAAGTCAATTGGGCTGCCAGTGGAGACAGAGAAATCCTGAATCAAACACACTTTGTGCTACACAGCACAAAAATTGGCTGGTTTGTGCAAATTGAAACTGATAGCTTCTTGTCACTCCCTTGAAGAAATGCAGTACAAAAGCACTTCTTTCATTATACATTATTCTGACAGCCTTGTCAGAGAAACTAAAGGCTGATTAAAATGTGGGCATTGGTCTGGAATGAGAATAGACACTGGAACTTACGTGGCTTCAGTAACATGTGCAGGTGAAAGCACTGTATGCACCAATTTGCATTTTATTACACATATCTATACAAAATTGTATTAACTACAACAAAGAACATAGCAGTCCATAACTCTGCCTGTTTCAGCAAGGCATTTGCAATAGTGTTCCTACTCCAGTAGCAGTTATAGCCAAGTAAAATAAATCCCCAGAGCATTAGGTGTCTACAACAGTAGCAGAACAATCCAAAAGAAGTTAGCAATGTGACCTGCAGTGCAGATGATTTGTCTCCAGTACTGTCCATCATCATAAGCACCACATGGAGAAATTGATTATTGGGAATAAATTGGAAATAGAAACTGTAATTTGAAAGGATGGCAAATAAACTTTGATGGAGTCACATCCGTCATCTATTTTCTCTTGAAAATTAGAAAATATCACTTGCAAGACACAATGGGAAAATTCTTCATACATAAATCTTAAATACTCAGTTTTCAAGCAAAAGGTAAGGAGTTATGCATATACACTAGGCATAATGATAGAGATCCAACATTGCCTCTCCACTCCGAATTCTGCAGAACACAGTCATAGACTGGTACAGGGCCAGCATGACCAAACAGCAAAGATGCTAGAACATATAAAGAGAAATATAAATATATACATAAATATATATGCAAAGTTTTATATAAAATGCAAAAACAATAGTACTTTGCACATTTTTACCCAGATTCCTAGAGACCAGGATATAAAATCGTCTGTAATAAAATTACTGCAGCTCACCTTTAAGAAAATGAAACTTCTTCAAAAAGCTAGCTACAACAAAGGAATCACAGAGGTACAGCAAGAGACCACTGAATGTCAAACCAGAGGAACTGATATTCAGAGAGTGAGGCCGAGAACTCACATAGCAAACTGCAATCTAATTGGGAGAGAAGAAAAAAAACCACACACACATACGTAAAATAGCTTTCTTCAGGCTTCTATATAACACTACTAGCTAAGGTTTCATACCTTGTAGTATTCACACCTGATTCACATTCAGACTTGCTTTCCAACTCCAAATATTGTGATTGTTACAGTTCTTTTCTAAAAATCCCCCTAGTTATTAAAAAGCTTTATAAAAACAGTATTCAGACTATTCATTAGTCCTAATTATTCATTATTATTATTACCATGAAGTTTAGATATGATAGGGTTTGAAAGCTGTGGTAATGACAACTCCCCCCAACCATAACTCTGTGATCTACCCAGCACAGTTTATCTACACAAGAGCAAATACAGTAATTGTGCAGACTGACACAAGAAGAAGCCTTTGAAAATGTCTAATTTCATTTACATCACAATGGGATTACTCAAGTCAGTAGAGCTGTGCATATACATATGTGCATATGAGGTTTCTTGTTGTCTAGTTACTTTGTTTCTATAGCTATTCCCCCAATCCACAGGGCACCAGGAATATTTATAGCACCCTTTCAGGGTTTATAAGTTTAAAATTAAGGAATCTTTCACACATGAACTGACTTCCAAAGTGCTATTCTACTTACTTGGGGCAGACCCATATCTAGCATAAATCAGCATGATTCAGTGGAGGACGGTTGACCCACAACAACTGAGACTCTGGCCCAAGATGTCTATATTTATGCATAAAATAGATGCATGAATTCCTTCAATCCTACTGTATCATATATCAACTCAGGTTAAAACTCCAGAACTTTACTAAATACCACCACCTCACTATTGCACTTCTACCTGACCTACATTTGTGTTTAAATGTGACCTTGCTTTTAGATCCAAACCCACTAGGGAGGGTCAACAGCTCTTGAGATCTAATGTCAACTTCTCCCATTCTGGCCGCGTGTCTTGGTATTTGCTTCTTTGCCTCAGCAAATCACTCATAAGTAATCTAACACATACATACTCTGAAGTGTTTTCTCAGGACTAGGTAGCATTTGTAAAACATTCATTTGGAAGAAATTTGTTATAGGAAGGGTCAAATTGTAACAACACATTTAAAAACCAACAACACAAAAAAAGTGCTTTGTATTAATTGAGACTCTAACACCACTCACAGACTATATGAGTATTTTGGACAACTCTGGTATTGCTCTCTCTATATTTTATATGTAATTTCTCCCAGTATCTCTATAGGACAAAGAATTTTATTTTAACAACATGAGGATTTAATATCTGATTGTTTGAATGCTGTTATGAATGAATGCTTCAACATAGGCCATACATTTCTAGAGCTGACTGAAGAGTACTTTGTTCCATACCTGTGGTCCTAAGTTAAGGTAACAGTCCACAGATAGCACTGGATGACTGTAATTCTTCAGTGAGAGGGGGAAGAAGCGATGGCTGTGATACTGGAGGTATTTTTCAAGAAGCAACTGAGCAGGTGCTGCCAAGAAGGTATGCTTGCTGTCAGGGGCACAAATGTACTGAGCAGGTGAGATTGAAACTGGAGTGTCAGACACCTAAGAAGAAAAACATTTCTGGCACAGATGAATCATGATCAATCAAGTTGCACTTATCTGAATTTTGGTTTGTACAAAACTCATCTCTATTCTATATATCCATATATCCTATATAGATCTATATAGGTCTCTATATATATAAATATAAATCTTTATAGATCTATATAGATCTATATCTATATTTTATATATATATATATAATATATATATTTATAATTTATAATTTAATATATAAATTAATATATTTATAATTTATATATAAAAATATGTATATATAAATATCTATATATATAGATAGATATGGATATATAGATAGATATGGATATATATATAGATAGATCTATATATATATCTATATATCCTATATAGATATATATCCTATATATCTAAGATTTATATAAGAAACAAAGTCATTCAGGCAAAAATATCTGCTACCAAAAATGTTTCAGAGGTTCAAAGAATTATATTTGTATTTATAGATTCTTTGGGGCTTCTTCTTTGAACCCAAGGTACTCCTAAACATGAAATCATGTGAAGACAAGTAATCAAATAGCTATAGACAAAAAATGTATAGTGAATGGTTATCTGAATTGTAGAGATATTTTAGGTAGTTTTGAAACTTTTAGAGAAAATGATTACAAACTGGTGCATTTATACCAAGAATATTGTGGATTTCAGGAAGAAAGACAAAAAAGACATGTCAGACATACCCCATTACTCGTAACTGGTGATGCACCATAATACCTCAGCTCTCCTGGTTACAGGGTACAAAAGAGAAAACACAAATTTAACAACAGTGAAGCAGAGGTGCCGGTTCTCACCTTAGATTTAATGTGGAAGGATCTCTGTCCTCCTACTGCAATTTGCTTCTTCATGACACTGAAGTGATTGAACCGACAGATGAGAAGGCCCGCACTGTGGACACGCAAGTTGAAGTCAACATCATCACACGTAAACCTGGGAAGAAGAAAATCATAGCAATTCAGAGCAATGTTTCTCATCACAGACTAACAAACTCGTGGTCTTTGATCAGTGCAATAGAAAGGACAGCTGTCAAACATACAAACCCTCCACTCAGTAGCTAAGAGTCAGGGAAAGAGGCTTCATTTTCCTGATAATAAATGATGCCATTAACAATGGCTGAGCTGAGATTAAGAAAATCTAAATGAGGGAAGAACCACTTACAGAGTAAAAGGACTGGAAAAACAGAAAGTGAAAGGAGAAAGGCAGCAAAATTCCAGAGAAAAGACCTAGGAGTTATTTTATTTGCCTCATCGTACAGTAATGCAGTCATAGAAAAAAGATACACAAATTACTATCCCAAATAAGGTCAAGAAAATTAACTCCTTTGACTTACAAGGACATGGATGATGTACATTTGATCTATTAAATTCAAAGAGGTCTGATTACTTATTTTTTCCTTTAGAATACAAATATGTGTTGTTGTTGGTGGTGGTTTATATAGTCCTCTACAGAAATAATGTCATTCTACATTAGAGACAAATTTATTTTAAGACAATTTCTCTTTTCATAGTCCAACAGAACTGCTGAGACATAGGAATAAAGCACACAGAATGAGGCCAAACATCCTTGAGCTAAATTTGGCCCACTTCAGAAATAAAATGGAACAGAAGGTAAACTTCTAGAGCTGACTACATGCAAATCCTCTGGCCTTTGGGAAATTCAGACTCAGTTCTCCATTTTAAAGTAGATATTACACAGGAAACAGGATGATATGCAGAACTGTGGGATTAACATCCAGGGCTTGGATTTATGAGAGCTAAACCATTACTGCAACAGTGAGCATTAGTGAGAAAATTGATATTTAATTATATGTTTTGAAAACCTTCTCTTTGCTCTATGTGGATACTTGTTATCCCTGACTGTCAGTGCCTCTGTGTTTTAAGACATACCTTTTTCCTTGCCAGCTCAGCTCGGCATGTCATGTAATGCTTTGGCCTTAACAGCACCCCCATACAGCATTATGGTGAGCCACTCATGGATTAGAGACACAGACAGGAAATGGGTGGCGTGGTCTCGCGTTCCAGACATTTTAGCATTGCTGCCTGTACTCGTGTCATTGTGTTTTATTGCACTGACATTCTCTCCATTAGCCCTTCATATTGCTTCATAAGATAATACAGCTAGACAGTGTGGGAGCACAACTCTGTGCCAGAATATGGATGGGAGCAAATTTAAAATGTTCTTTTAAAGTGTCAGACTGGTCATTATAAAAATTTAGGTCATCTGTTTAGCCAGACTAAAAGAAGCAAAAGCGCTTCCCCACAGTTACAAATAAATTTGGACTTCATCTTCCTGAGACAGTTTTACTGAGAAATACAGCGGGGTTTGGTTATTCAAGTCTAGGTACTCAGTGCCATTTTAGATGACTTGGGCTATCCGAAATAGCTCACAGAAAAATAAGTGTCTTAGATTTCATGTCATACCTGACAGCCCTATGTGGACACATCCAGAGGTGCCAAAGTCTCACTTTAGACAAGTGACTCCCACCTTTAGCAATAGCTACTTCATTCTGTTGTGATAAATGCTTGTCCCTCAGAAACAGGAACAAAAAATATTTCTTTCACATAAATCAGTGAATTTCTGTGAGATTATATATTTAGTGAATACAATTCTGGCAACTGTGGTGATACTGTGTATGGCAGTATTTTAATCTGAAATACTCTATGTGAAATAATAAATGGGAAAAAAATGGGAAATCAGAGACAGTAGAACATAAGAAAAACCACTAATGTTAATGACGTTCATTTACTCCTTCTGAATTTGTTGATGAGCATACATGTAGTATGTTCCAATGTTTAGAATAGAACAGAACAGAATGGAGCAGAACAGAACGGAACAGAATTGAATGGAACAGAATGAAATGGAACGGAACAATTAAGTTGGAATGGGCCTTCAAGGATCATACAGTACAACTGCCTGATCATTTCAGGGCTGACCAAAAGTTAAAGAAAATTATTGAGGGCATTATCCAAATGTCTCTTGAACACTGACAGCCATGGGGCATCAACCATCCTGCAAGGAATCTTCTTCCATCTTACCTTCACAGTAAGGAAATTTGTCCTTTGTTGTGCTCTGTGTTGTGCTGCTCAGTATAAAAAGCCCAGCTATACCTCAGTTCCATGTCAGAACAAGATTTGGTTTTGTACCATCCAGACATATGGTGTTTACCAGAAGGCCACTTGAACTAGACACCCGGGGGACTTGCACTACAGGGCACACTGCTGAATGCATTTACTCTGTAACTCAAATATGACTGCTTATTTCACAGAATCACAGAATTTCTAGGTTGGAAGAGACCTCAGGATCACCGAGTCCAACCTCTGACCTAACACTAACAGTCCCCACTAAACCATATCCTTAAGCTCTACATCTAAACGTCTTTTAAAGACCTCCAGGGATGGTGACTCCACCTCTTCCCTGGGCAGCCTGTTTCAATGTCTAACAACCCTTTCAGTAAGGTTCTTCCTAACATCCAACCTAAAACCTATATTTGAAACTATTTGAAACTATAGAGATTAATGTCTTTTACGAACTGATGGTAATTTGGAAAGAATTTGAACCTTCAATAAGAAAATCTCCTTGCTTCCCATTAACAACTTCCCCCAAAAGCCAACAAGATTATTTGTAAAACTTCTTTTATTTGGTTCGTTATGTCTTTTGAAAGATGCTATTTATTCACTTACCTGTTCTGATTGTACTGTACATTCTGTGTCAGATCAACATTTAGCATAATGAAATCATGTACATGGCAACAGGAGAATGGCTCCTTGAACTCAGTACTGTTTGCTTTACTAGACCATTTTCTCATCCCAATTAAGGCATAGTGAGTGACATTGGGGGTTGCTTCAATACGTTGCAGAATTTGCTTCAAGGAAACATTCCTTTCAGTCCATGTATAGTCACTATAATAATTAGGAAAATGTGTTAATGTATGTAGAGAATAATCAGAATCTTAGTTATGTGAACAACAGTTCTCAACAGTCAAAAGTAGTTATGAGCATCAAGTAGATAACTTCAGTGTTGTTTTACTTTATTGCAATGTTTCACCTCTCACTCCAGGATAGAGTGAAAACTTACAATTAACTAGTACTTATGCACTGGGGACTGATATACTAGGTTTGAAATTTATCTTAAATCTTGCAAAATATTTACTCAGGTTTGTAAACTTTTCAAGTTATCTGGATAAGGTTTCAAATGACCACTCAAGGGTTGCTGACTTTGTGCTATAACTCAAGAGCAAAGCATAAGATCCTCCTAGCCTACCACTCAAGTCCATAAATACCAAAGCTTTCACTGACTTTAGTTCTCTTTCAAGGTTTGCTATAAATCCTGAATAACACTGTTATGGGAGTAGACAGAAATACCAAGTACAAATAATATTCTAAAGCAATGAAAATAAAAACATTTGTTCGGGAATTTGGGGAAATAATGAAAGAGACACACAGACTAGGAAATTAGATGCCCAATTTTCACAGAAATATCTTTTAGCTTCCTTGGAAAAAATCTGACAAAAATGTAAATTTGATTGCCTTTATTTTCCCAGTGTATCAGGGATTGTTTAAAGAACTTGAAATTTGCAGTCCAAGTTATTCTAGTTTGAACCAGTGATATACTATACAGCAAAGGCTGCAAGGCACTTAAATCCTCTGGGGACAGGAATGAAAAGCAGGCACTAAACATTGTGCTATGCAAAGCCAGATATCTAAGGAAAACACTTGTTTCATTAGGCAAATATTATTCCGTACTTGTACAGGGTAAAAGTATATCAAACATGTAATTTCAAAACTGATATGCAGTGAAAGCTTAAAAGAGATCAGCTGAAAAAGCCTGTGTTCCTCTATTTACCTTTTCCTGTCTCCTGAACAATCAACTTCTACTGCATTCCACATAACACAGGAGTCATCTGAAATGACAATGAAAGGCCAAATATCCTGGGGTTTTATCCCCAGCTCCTCCTGCCGATTTCGTTCTAGCTCCAAGTTATGATAAGACAACTCTTTTATCAGGAAGTGTGCAGCACCTGAAACCAAGGGAATAAACCATATGATCAAAAATAGGGACAGAAATTGTTTGCTTTTAGCTTAGAAAACTCTTGAAGAGAACATTTCTGCAGCCCAGGGTATGACTCACTGTGAAGATTTTAACACCCTAACACTCCCTGGAGCCAATCTCCCATGTCACTTGCTGTAAGTGACTTACAGGACCTCACTGGGAAGCACACAAAATTAAGCCTTTACTTCTGTGGTAAAGATTTGTTAATGTCTCAAGGGTTTAGTCACCAATTCTTTTAACACCTTACAGATTTATATATATATGAATATATATATAAATAACAGATATTTGCCTCCACTATCATATCTGAGTAGGAACATCTAGAAATGCTTAACTAGCTGAACAACATAGGAACAACTTACCTTGACTGTCAATTCTGAATGCTTGTCACTACTGCTGTCTATAAATTGTTCAAGCAGTAAATCAAAGTGCTGAATATTTCACAGAATCTACCTACGAGATGCACATGATCAGCATGCTTACTAATCTTCCCCCATCTCTGTTCTCCTCTACACACTGAGACTGTAGTAGAGGGCTTCCAGCCTTATAAATTGACATGATCCACTTCTGTGAGATCCTGTAGTTCCCTCCTCTACCAATAAGCCTGAGCATGACTCAGTTGAATAAACAGAAGCATCTAGTGATATTTGAGGCTCCCCGCGCTACCTGAGATATCCACACAGAACTAGCAGTGACACAGGCTTCTGGAGATAGCACACAATTTACTTCCAAAAATAAAAATAACAAAAATAAATAAAAAAAAAGAGGAGGTAACTCCATCTGAATTAACCATCTCTGTTTCCATTTAAAATCAGTAGTGAAAAGTAAATATTTCTATATATGAGTCATCTAGCTTTTCCTAGGTGACCAGGATTAAGTGAATGGCACCCGAGACTGTGACACATTGTCTTCAAAGAAAAACCAGGTCATGAGAGCAGATATAGTAGCTCTGCATATAATATGATGTATATAATGTATACCTCCATTTCAATGATGAATAACACCACCTCAAGGGCCCAGATCATGTGTTCTCATTTGTTAAAACTTTTGGCTATACTTACCTACTCCTGCACTGTTGAAAATGCTTGGAAGAACAAGCATGATGTGGTTGGGCCAGTACTTCTTATATATAGCCATTTCATATTCCTTGACAACTAAAACGTGCAAATGACTGGCTCCATCCATTGCATGGTATAAATTGAAAAGTCCATGTTCATGACGCCCAGTGGTGGGAGTAAAAGTGGGGCTTTTTATGTAATCTTCATTCTGTAAATAAATGGAAATGTGAATTTCTATATTAAGCCAGATGATGTTTAAACAAGGAGAACCAAATCTGTCAGCAGAGTAAGTCAGATTCAGTGACACTGCATTTTTACATTTTAAACTAGCTTAATAGGGAAATAAGCACAAGTTGGAAAAAAAGAAAACTCCTTCTATTAACTTATTTGACCGTTGAGAGTGTGGTGAACTGGACAGTATTGTTAAAAACTTGACCTGACAAATGCACATGGACCTTGAGGTTAGATCTGGAGAAGGATTCAGGTCCATATGACATGAGAAGGTATGAAACATCTTAGTCCAAAACTGCAATACAAGTCTTATGACTGGCTATCATCCAAACTTGAATGCATTTAAACTCACTAGATACCTTCAAGTTTGATAGTACAGCTCCTTAGAGGCCTGTTTCTACAGACTTCCAGGACTATTCCAGTCAGGGCAACTGATTTCAGCCTGGTCCCTACTAAGACCATTAAGGACGCAGAATGAATGTGTGCTTCTTCACAGAGACTCTCCAAAGTCCTCACAATTAAGCAGACCAGATTTAAAACTGCCAAAGTACTACATGGTGTGTTTGATGCCCATGGAGTTCTACAACGGAGAAGTTAAAACACTGAGAAAAAAATATATATATTGTAATGGTTTCATAATCTAGGTTGCAATCTAGATCATAGCACTTTTCAAGCTTGCAGAAAGATTGAAGGCACCATTTTGGAACAGATGAATAAAGAAGCAAAGAAAGAATAAACAGTTTTGGCAAACTCTTAGAGCAAGCCACTAGCAGAAGCAAGAAAAGAATCCACAAGGACCCAATGCACAGTTCCAATTACCTAGCCAAGCACAGGCTTACTGAAGTTTCATTCTTACACTGTACAGTTGTGACTCGGTTGCTGGTTGGGGTCTCCCATTTCAATCTTGAGCTGGGCATAAATGCCCAAACTGGGGGGTCATATTGATTGATTATCATTTATTGGAAGCAGCTTATTTTCTCAAATATAGAAGTGCTACCACTTACTATTGTTCCACAAATTGTTTCAATAATCCAGGCAGTGTGGCCTGAACCATTCAGAGCTTCATCATAAGCATAGATATTAGGAGTCTCTGTAAAGGCCAGCATTCAAGATTGCATAGCCTGTCAGATGGATGATCATATAAAGTGTTTTCTGCAAGAGCACCCTGCAATTCTTTGTACAGTTTTAAAGCCATGACAAAGATTCTTTGAAAGCCTTGCTTTTTTATGACAGCATTTAAGCATTTATGCAGAATAGAATAGATAATCTACTGTCATCTTCTACACCAACAACAAAAAAATGCTTCTTTACAGTAAACTGTTTAATAATTGAAACCATGTCTGAGGCTCATTGCTGAAACCATTCTCACTTTAACATCTTAAACTCATAACCAAAGAACTTTTGCCCCAGATTAAGAATGTATGTACTGAAGGATCAGCCTTGGCAATGAGCAAAAGAAATAATTTATTAGCTGTTTGACAGCTTTGCTTCATGTCTCCCTTTCTGGCAGAAAATACAAGCTTAGTGTCAGGACATCCTTATTATCTCTTGATAGCAGGACCAGAAGTATAAAGAATCCTATTTTAACAAATTTAAAAATTGGTCATGTTGCTCTCCCATACATGGACATAAAAATAAAATCCATCTACCTTATCTGTGACTAGTGGTAGCCGCATGCTTTCCAATTGTCTTCCTGGTTGGCTAAAGACAAAATGATGTTCCTTTGACTTTGGAATGATAAAATGCAGCTGGATCTCTTCTCCCAGCATGGAATAGGAAAAGGCAAATGCATGCAGAGTAGATTCATAAAGCTGATAATGGAGGAAAAAAAAAATATATAATTCAAATGGTTAGACTCAAACATTTCCTACAAGGTCTTGCTGTGTTTAATACACATTCATATTACCAAACACATAACAATCACTTAATGTATTGCACTATATTTTACCTAACGATTCACTATATGTTAATCAATTCCCCCTATGATATATTACAGTGAGAAAAAAAAAAAAAAAAAGTTGTGGCACCCTCTTTTGAAACCATTGTTTCAGCTTTGTATGTAGACAGTACTAATGCTTACAGTCCACTTCACTTTCTGCTTACAGAAATGCTATCTGACCCATAAAAAACAGTATTGACATCACTAATACATTCTTCCTCACAAGCTAATAAGCAGGAAATTGGAGGGTCACACTGAGTAATAACAACGTACATGCCATTTATAAAACATATACCGCAATACTGCAGTTTCAGAAGTGACATCTTTTGTGGTAACTGAGATCAAAATGTAAGCAAATCCCAGTGGAAAAGTTTACTGGGAGAGCACTTTTCACTGATATTATACATGTAGACTGCTCATAACAACACTGAAACAAGTTAGTGTAAATGAGATGAGGAACAGTCCTGTGAAGTACCCATATCTGCAGTCTGGTCAAGGCAGGCAAACCCCAAGAAATAACAAAATCTTTCAATCAGCTCTTTCTTTGTTTTTAATACATAGATACATTTTGTAAGCTAATTCAAATACAGTGAATGAACACAAAACTGAGTTCAGTCTCTGTATCAGCTTTTGTTCTGAAGAGCAGCATCTGGAAATCTTTACCTGGTACCTGGGATTGAAACCCATATACTGATGGCACTGTTCACAGTGATGATAGGTGTTATATGCTGCATACTTGGATAATCTCATTCTAGTTGTTTGACGACGTGTATACATATCCTCCTGTCTCCTGCTCATTGATCTATCTATTAAAAAAAGAAACAACATATATGTAACATATATTCAAGTCCAGAATGTATTCCCTTGTGACAGACTGTTTCTATCACCGTATCTTCTAGGAAAAATAGCATGAGTAAATACACACAAAACAAAATAGGAATTTATTCTGATGTGTTTTACAAATTAATGCATACACCAAAGTGCACTAAAAAGATGTATCTGCAAGTTCATGATTATGGTAATTCTGTACAAATGTACATAAAGCTGAGGCATAAGCAAATCTAGATTATTAAAATTAATATTGCTGCTGCTGTTATTACTAGTTGAACACTTTGAAAATTAAAAAATAGTAAAAAAAGGGTCTTAAGACAGACATCTGCAGTTCTGTGATGGACATCACAGTAATTAAGTGAAATGAACTCAATAAACTTACTGATGTTGCTTTTTAATGTATAACCACATTAAATAAAAAGTTTTCTCTTGTGGGAGACGGAAGATGAGATTTAATGATAACCTACGATGAGAACACCTACCTATGCAGAGTTGAGACCATGATTACATGAGCTTCATGCAGCCTTTAAATGGGAACCATTTCTGTTGAAAAGGGCTTATGTTATGTCTGTCATCTGGCCAAACACTTCATTCAAATTTCCAGCATCAAATCAGGCTGCTCTTGTCCTATCAATTTTAAAAATCACTAAGTATAGATTTTCCACAGTCTGCCTGGGCAACTTGCTCCAGAGCTTGATCACTCTTATTCTGGAAGTATTTTTCATACTCCCTGCTTGTATTTTCCCATGTTGCACCTTGTGTGTATTGTCGCTTGTCCTTACACTGTGTTTCTATATTAGTTTGTGAATACAAGTTCCCATTATGAAGCAGTAATCAAATGGTCCTGTGAGACTTTTCCAGACTTAACAAACCCCATTCTCTCTGCTTTTCTATGTACATCATGTGCTTCAGGCTTCTATCCACCTTGGTTGCTACCCACTAGACACACTTCTGTATGGCAAAGCCTTTCTCGTATTGGGAAGCCCAAAGCTTGACACAATACTCCAGATGTGGTCTTACAAATGCAAGGCATAGAGGAATAATCACTTTCTTTGAGTTGCTTGCTAGATTTGTAGTCGGTTGGTTTAGTAAACCAATAACTCAATGGAGAACTGGTGACTCGTTCAAATTGCTGTCTAGAGGATCAGAAGGTTACTTTCCTCAAAGCTGCTTTCTATACAGATAGTCCCATTCCTGTACAGGTACAGAGGGTTATTCCACCCCAAGTGCAGGATTTTGTATTTGCCTTTGTTGAACTGTGTGAGGTTCCTGTGAACCAATTTCTTCGGCCTGTCATGCTCTCTGAAAGTCTGTGCTGTCTTCCAGCATATTGACTGCTCCCCCAGCTTGGCATCATCCATGAACTTGCTAAAATTGCATTCTGTCCCTTTTACCAGGTTATAAATCGCAATCTCAAACAGCATTTGCCCTACTGAGTCCCTGATTATTACCATGCATAAGTATTTGGCCACAAGGGTGATCACAGGGTGGGAGTCTGGACATGACTTGCAGGAGGGTTTGTTCCATAATTGTTTGGGGGACTGAGGATAGGTTGACTAGGGTGTATTTTCTTCAATCTTCCTTCTAGTTCTGTAGAGGAAAGGCATGATATTTACCTCTTCCCAGTCATCAGGAAACCTAAAGATGATAGACAACAGGAGCTGGATGTTGGCCAGCTCCATTGTTGTGCTTGGATGCATCCTACCCAGTCTCATGGGCCTGTGTATGTCCAGCTGGCTTATGTACAGGACCATAGTAAGAGATTTATTTCACCTGACCATAGACATTTTCATTTATTAATTTGCCTGTAAGAGTATTATGGCCCACAGAAAGCAACAGACACATCTAGCCTCTAACTGACCTGACCTACCTTACATGTATACTTTATCATGAGATAAATTTTACTTTAGAAGAGCTTATTTCTCATGAAATATTTTTAAGGGTGTCCAGAGGACTAAATCACACCTCAGTACTCCAGGAATCTAGATGCATTTCACCATTTCCAGAACCTAAACTAAATAAACCTATAAACACTTTTAAGAACACAAATTTAAGTACATAACTAATGCATGTCACTGCATTGCTAAAACAAGACAATGTTACTACATAAAAACATTCCAATATGCAATTATTTTTGAGGGATCAGAAATTTTTCAATGAGACACTACCCATTTAATATTCTATAAACTATTGATAAGTCTCGTACTCTGGTGTTTCATCTAACAAACTACAGATCTCTTTCCATTATTACCTACATGTAGTCAAGTGCAATTCTGATTTCATTCTGTTCAAAATCAACAGAATTCTCACTTTAAAACCAAATGAATACATACATGTGCACCATTATAGATTTTTCAAATTCTAACCTTCACTGTTTATTGTCTGAAGCTTGGAACAAATCAGACTTGCATCTTCATATTTAGGGTCATGGATAGTGTAGTTGAAAGGGATCTTCTTAAATGTCTCCAGATCTGGCCATGCATCTCCAGGTTGATGGTAGCATTGATCAGATTCTTCTTTTAAGTCTATGGTATTATTGAAAAATAAAAATTCATGGAATTACAATTTTAAACATTCTTTATACTGTTATAGAAGGTTTTGTTATGCTTACAATTCTTAAATCTTTTTTTTTTTTTAATTTCATCATTCTGATGAAGCAATATTATTATGCATAAAGATGTGTACCTTTGAACAAACAAACCTCATACCTCAAGAAAATTCTGGCTTTTAAACGTTTCTTTTCACTTTAATACCTTGATAATCTTATTAGAACGGTTGGTGGAATGATAATGAAAACAATGTCAAGGTCCTAGTAAGTCTGATCTACCTGGATCCAGACATTTGCAGTATTTCCACACCACATTTGTGAACTCAGTTGAGGAAAGATACTTTATTCCCATTAAAGAAAATAAACCTTGCTTCAGAAATCGCAGTATTAAGTCCAGTGCAGAGTTAAAGCTTGCTACACCTTCTAGGGATAAGCCTAGAGCAGTCAAAGAGAATGTGCTCTGAAATCAGGCCTTTTTTTTTGAAACAGGTAAAAAAGAGCACTAGTCCAATTAAATACTTTTCTACCCTTGTCAAGAGGATGAAGGATCTAACGAGTAAAATGGACAGTATAAAATATTTCAATAACGTAAATCAATTACAAAGGTGAACAGCATCAAATATGTATGCAAATTACTTCTTGAATTAACATAACAAATGACTACACTTTCCAAAAGCAAATATTTTTATAACAAGAACTTACTAATGTTGATTTCTTCCTCATCATAGACATCCACTTCTGTCAGTCTGATCAGCATTCTGGACAAAATACTGAGGAACTGCAGATAGGCACCCGTTTTCCCTATCTGTAAATATATAAATCAGAAAACACAAAAGAAAACTTTCATTTTCATCTGGAAATTGCACCTGCAGTGAAACATTTGGTGTTTGCATATCCCTACACTTGTAAATTGATAAGCCAAAATGACACGCTTAAATGTCCAACATTTCTGTGCTCTCTCTGCAGGAAATTAGTTTGGAAAATGCATTTTATATCACAGGTCAAATCTAACAAGCTAGAATTTTCTCTCTTTCTTCTATAGTTGCTACATTGGCAGTGAACTTCTAAAAATCCATATAAGCTCAAAAAATCTTCCAAAAATTACTCCTTTATATACAAGATAGCTAAAGAGTTACTTCAACCCTGTCGTACAATTCATCAGCACACTGACTGCTGTTGAAGTACATTGACTATTCTGAATAACAGTGTCATACCTCTGTTGGAGAACTTGTGCAGGCCACATCCACTCCTGGAGGACCTGGCATATGTAATAATGTGTTTTTTCACCTCTTGAGCTAAAAAGATATTATTTTCCTTCCCCTGTTTTCAAATTATCATTTAAAAACCTGTTTTAAAATTACTTTAAGACTGTAGCTTTAACCTTTCTTTTTTACCAACACAAAATACGTATTTTATCTTACACCCAACTGTATCACTGTCCTTTTATAGCTTTTTTTAGCTGAAAGATGCAAGCCACAGCCAGCTATTTACTCAATTAATTGCTGTCTTCTATACAAAGTTTTTGATGATAACATCAAGAAAATAATGCCATGTCTAAGCAGACACCTTTGCAAACCATTACATTTTAACATAGAGCAGAACATACGGGGTTTCAATGAGCAAAAAGAGACCAGCAAACTCCTGCCATTCTCACAGAATACAGAGTGAGGTTAACATATAGACCACTATGGCACATTCTCCTCCTGGAACTGTCTGATTTTGGACTACATCTACATTACTACTGAATTGAAAGTCCAGCTTTCACTGCCATTACTTCTAGGACACGTCAGAAGCATATGGTGTTGAATTATTAAAAATAGTATTGTATTTAATATTTTCCATGATTTTTTTATTTTTTATTTATTAATTTAAGGCTTTGCAGATGAAGCAAGAGCAAGTAAGCATTTATTTTGTCAAAGTTCACTGTCTGTTGCCCTTAATAAATCAGATTGCACATGAAGCATTTTTTTGCCAACGGTGGAAAAGGGTCCCCTGTTCCCTGCTGAGGGTTAAATAAGTCTTTCAGGTGCACTTGGTAGACCTTGCAAGAGCACACAACCCCATGTTATCCAGGGGTAACACATTAAAAAACATGACTGAATAGCGGAAATTAGGCATTGGGCTATACTCGGCCCACAGACCAGATGTCTGTGACTCCCAGTCTAGGTTTTCACACAAAATCCCTTAAGACTGATGAGACTCTTTCTACTGACCTTGGAATAAGGCTCTAGGGTTCACTGAGATGGCTATTTATTGATAAAGCAGACAAAGAACATTTTATCTTCCCACATCTGAGGAAAACTTGATCATAATTTGTTCTGTTAGAAAATGATTTCTACATTTTTTCTCACATCAGAGTTTACCTTTATATGCCATTATGAACATACTCTTTTTAAGTGCCTCCCACCATCCTTTCATTAAACACTGGGTGGCCTGACAGATTAAGAGCTCCTTAATTTTGAACAAATGAGAGACGAATTGTCAAAAGTACACAGCCGTAATTCCTAAGTTTTTTGAAGTATATATTTAGAATTGTCAACAGATCAACAGGCTGAAAACCTTACTTCTCCCCTTCAGTAACTGTTTAAAACTTATTCTGTACATGTATTTTTCCTTTCTCTCATGAAACACGTTTTCACCAATGGTTTTCAACAATGTATCTGGGGTCAGCAGGCTACCTCTAAGTGGTATTTGGATGAAAGGTATCAATTGACTCAAATTTACAAATCTGTAGGGTCACAAATTGGAAATGTTGAAAACCACAGAACTAAAATACTACTCCCAAACCAGGAAACTAAAACGTGTGCACTTTTGATATTCTGTGCATCACATCTCATTATCTGTCACATAAAAACTGACTAAGACAATACTGTGAGCTTTATGGACTGTTAGATATTTGCAGCACTGTATGAAAAATACTGGTGGAAACAAGCAAATATCTGTCATTTTCAGGATCTTTTTTTTGTTAGCAGAAAGCTTAGGCTGAACACATGACAACATTCATATTTTGACTCCACTCAGTTGCACATTTACCTGCATTTTTCTGTTGAAGAAATGAATTGCTGTAATACAGAACACTTTCCCCAGTTCATTTAGAGAACAAGAAAAAATAAAAATGATTTTTTATTGACAATCAGTGTTTACTCCAGAAGGGAAGAGCCTTGAACATTTGAATTTGTAGCATACCCAGATGGGTAAATGTGACTTTAAATTTAATAATATTGTTTTCTTTATGCACCATCTCTAGACAAAACAGAAATGCAAAAAGTGTCTTTACTTGTTTGAAAATACAGAGTAGCTGTCAACAAACAGAGCTTCTAGATCTCTCTGAAGAGTTCTCATCTCATCTGTCACTCTTTTGGATCAGTTTTATGGGGCATCTGCAAAGAGATCCTGCAAGCAGGATAAGGCACTTGGGGGCCAGACATACTCAAATAATGGAACTATTACTCTTTTGTTTCTGGCTATGTGAATTTGGAAGACGGAAGTAGAATTAGGAAGTGAATTAGGAAGACTCCAAAGAAGAAAATCACAGAAGATTAATAAACAAAAATCTCAAATCTTGAGAAAACTTATGATAGGATTGTGGGTCCTGCAAAGATTTTGTATTTTGGTTTCTATTTGTATCCTAAACTCAAGGTGTGATTTGGCCTATAAGAAACTAAGAGTATGTTTACTCTGCAGTTCTTCATTCACAAAGAGTTTTGTGGGACATGAGCAAGAAGAAAGAATATGAATTCAAAATTTTCCTGCAGAAAGTTCTAGAGATATGAAGGTCCTTTTTTGTGTGCATGTCAAAGACACATAGTGCCTATGAGAGTGAAAAGTTATCCAAAGATTTTGAGCACTGAACTGTACTTTCCATAAATATCTATGATAAGCTGAAAACAAACTGTCTAAGAACCAGAGACAGAGAGATTCCAGTCAGAGAAATTGCATGTGTGCCTCCACATTTATTCATACAAAAGACATTCAAAAGTGTTGTTGTAGCAGGTCTAATGCTAATTAATTTTTTAACTTGTTCCAGGACCACTGGTAGCACTTTATTACTCTTACATGTTGATAGAAAGCACCAAATGATTTCAGTCTTCACATTTGGAGAAATATGGCAAAGGGGAAATAATTCCATAAGGCTTTTCTGTTTTAATTTCCAGGCAAGACAGTTCTTCACATACCACAGCAGTGGTTTTCAGACTGTGGTCTGCAAACCAGTAGTGATTCATAGAAAATATGCTGATGGTCCACAGACAGCTGGTCAAATGGTGCTGGCTCTTCTCCTTGTTTCCACTTGCTATGTTCTGCTAGAAGACAGCTAACAAAAGATATATTAAATATTTCCCTAATACTTTTATTACATTAGAAGAATGGCATATAAGCCCATTGTAATAAGGTTTTAATAAGAGTAGAGGAAATTCTAAACGTATCTAAGTTTTTAGCAAGATCAAAACTTGAAGATCCTCTTTTTAAGGATTTATCTACAGCTTATAATGCAGAAACTCCAAGCACTCAGTAAGGGTTCAATATAACAAACTTGCTTTCAATTTGAAGCTACGAAAAACAAAATATTGGAATGATACAGCAGAAAGCCTACAACATCATTTCATTCCAAAGGATCCACTCAGACCATAGCTTAACTTCTAAGCCCACTGTTTTATTAGTATTTTAAATGATGTCAGGAGGCACCTTTCAGGATAAGAATCACTTGTGTTTGAGAATTTAATCATCTGTGTGGATAGATGAAAAGTAGCCTTATGATAGAACATTTTGACCAGTCCAGAGGGTAAAATGTCTCTGTGAAGGGTAAGTGTACTTTACTACCAATTGCCCTAATAGTGAGAAATGTAATTTTGTTTCACTAATATATCTAATTTTCTTCACGTGTTTATTTCATATTTTTTTCATTCTAACCAACAAATTGCTTCCTGATTTGAATTTTAATAAAGTAATTGCTGTCTAATAAAGAAAATAACTACTTCCTAATTTTTGAAAAAGAACTTTAATGCTTTGGTTGAGATGTTATCAATCCTCCAATAGGTACTGTCTAATAATTGTCTTTTATTAAGATGCCACAGTTTTCTGCCTATATCTCTTCATGCATTAATCATGAGTCCATGTAACATGATAGTACTATCAATCACAAATGAGCAAAACTTATTTCAGTAAGGAAAATTCCCCAAAAAAGAAGGGAAATTCTTATTTTGGTAAATTTTACTGTAACTACACACTAGAAGAGATCCATTGTTGTTATACCTTAAAACAATAAACAGTCAACATACATTTACAGCTTACAGGTGTTTTTAGTACTTTGGGAGGTTAAAATACCAAAATAAGCAAAGCTGCTTTTTCCCACCTAATTAAATTAAGATATACCCCTAAACTGTGAATTGTGACATCAGTGTGTGAATTTGTTCTGTGTCAAACATGTATATTCTTCAGAAAGAACTGGAAAATATAAATTGGATATAAATGTGAAGAGTGTCCTTCAGGAACTGATCCAACTGTATGATCTAATTAACAGACTAGGAAATAACCTGTATTGTGCAAACAGCTGGAGAAGGGATAAAATTTCATGTAAAGAAAGGGATATCAAGGGTGAGATTCACTGCTGTATAAAAGGTCTATAGGAGACATATTCCATATTTGGGAAAAAAAAAAAAAAAAAGTTTCACCTGGTTGCAAAAAGTGTTGATTGTTGATTGCCATACCCTGGTAGGGAGCCAGTGAATAAGCAAGTTGCCTGTCTCATTATAATTAGTTAAACGGCACATATCATATGTGTTAAGCAATAAATCCTTCTCAAATTCTTCTCATGGATGTGTAGTATGCTTTCAGAAATTTCTGAATGACTCTTCTGAGAACCTCAGGTTCGCATTTGTGACCCCAAACCAAATGCTTTATGATCAAATGAATACGAAAGTTGTATTTACTTACCAGCAAATCTGGATATTTAGGGTGTCTCTGGAAATAGTATCTTTGTGGGTTTTGATGTGTATACATATAAAATTCTATCAAAAATTTTCACAGCCTGTGTTTTTCTTAGAGATGCAAATTGGCAATCTGTTCCAGAATGTATTCGTTTTTGTGCTGCAGCTTTGTATGACATTTATTTTCTTGATCATGTAATTCCTCAGTCTTTGGCAGGCAAACACAGATAATTTAAATCAAAGGAATGGAGAGTAGTGTAAAACTTCTCATCAGAGTACTTTCTGGAATCCTTTATGCATTACAGTAACATTTGCAGGAAGTTCCAAAATGAAAAGTCTATTTATGCTCTTCCTACTTTACTGAACCCTAATTTCAGATGTACAATGAAATGAAATCATTTAATAAATAGCAATATATACTTTATTTTTGAAATGGATTGGCATGGAAGAGTGTTAAGTCAGTAACTATCTTTAGATGAATTATCTCGTTTGATGTTAGAATAACAGGAAACATGGGTCTTTGCCTTGTTTTGATTTATCCTTTTTGACTTCTGATGTTCCCAGGATGTCTATATGTTCTCTGTAGGCATGGGGTCTCTTTCTAGCTTGGTACTGTTAGCTTCATTTCTTGGTACTCCAGCAGAACAAGAGGCACAATATTAACTTTAGCATGTAACACGCATTGAACTGAGAGCCACCTTGCTCAGAGATTAGAAAATTTAAAAGGCAAGGAACTTCTTAGATCATTGCATGATTTCCACGCATCTTTTGAAATAAAATTTTAAAATTCTGAGTCTGCCACTCATCTTGTAAATACAGCTTTGCTAGTGAACAGACTTTTTTGCATGTGTTATTTACAACAGCTTCTATTTCTGTCTGCCACGTGGAGACAGAGAAATACCTTAATTGCAGACTCTCAACTATCTTTAGATTGATCATAAGTGGTTTTGTTCAGATCTTTGATCTTTATTCAAAATGTAAATGATTATTCATTTTTAGCAAACTGAAATGATACATGCAATATATCTTCTGAGAAAACTATCTTTTAAAGCATTTTAAGTGAGAGAGCCTGACAGAAAATGAACATTGCTGCAGCTTCATTGTCTTTGAACTTAGACTAACAAACAGTAAAGAAAGACTATTTTATTAGAAGGGAGTTAGGAAATAATGAAATAAAATAAAACATAAGCAACTTAACTCTTCACCAAAAATGTTTCAAGTATGAATACTAACTAGTATATTTTTTCAGAGAATAACATTAAACAAAATAAATGAATGATAATACCTTGCTCTTATTACACACCTGTGGTGGCCCACTCAGCAGCAGCCTCCTTGGGTGAAAGGTGTCCATTCTGCCCTCATTCCTATTATTGTAGTCCATATGGGTTGGCTTGGGCACCGTCCATTGGCGGTAGTATAGAGATTGCTCCGTGCAAGTCATCATCTTACTCATAAGAGGACGAAAAGAACTTGCCCACATAACAGAATGATAAGGTAAAAGGGAAGATGATTTGGGAAGTCCGCTGCTGTCCGTAGAGGTAATAATATCATAAACCAGTTTGGGCAAGAAAACTATGGGAGGCTGTTTTGATGCTTTGGTCATGGAGCATTGAGAGGTCTGTAGGATGAAGGAGTTGTGAGTAGGCGCAGAGAAGGAGGAGGAGGAGGAAAAAGGTGAAGAGGATGAGGAGGTGATGGAAACTTGGGCACTTTTTATGTTCTGTTTTGTATCCAGTTGTTCTGTTACTGGTGATAAGTGTTTGCTGACTGTTGTTTGTGCCCCCTTGTCTACCTTCTGCTTCTGCCTTTCATGGTTGTTTGTAGTTTCTTCAGTGCTGTTGCTTAGGTGGGGGGATTTGGCTGTATCTCCTGCTGTTACGAAAGGAGGTGATGACTCACTGCAGAATGCTGTAACTAAAAGAAAAATTCTATTTCAATACAGAGCAACAATGTCATCTAGTCAATGTCATAGTTAAACACTGAAAAATCACTGTGATATGGTGCCTGTCAAGTAATGCAACCTCACCCCTGCTCCTGCTTTCAAATTAATCATACAGGAAGTATTAATGGGACTAGTTTGGAGTATCTGTCTCAATGCAGCAACCACCTTTACAAAAACTGAATTTGCATAGGAAAGCTGTCAGTGATTGTTTTGTCCTCTCCTTCCCTCATCCATTCCCTGCTTGACTCAGGAGTTCATCAGATACCATCATCTCTCAAGAACACTATAAAATTATGTAAACTGTTGTTTAAAGGAATGCAAGAAAATAAGTACTAACAGGAGAGGAAGATTTCCTTAATCACAGGCAAATTTTGGCCACATGGACACTGTGAATTGAACAACAGCACAATTTTAAAAAAGAAAAACAAGTGGTGAGAAAGTTTATAAAAATTTCTTCAAGTTGTTTTGGTAATGGTGGGTTTGGTAATGGTGGGTTTGTGTGTGTGTGGTTCTTTTTGTTTTTATGTTTCTTTTGTAACAACCATTGTGTCTGCAGAAAAGAAATCAGGCCAAATATGCATGTCAGCATGGTGAAAACTACAATTAGATCAAAAAGATTTTATTGTCACTGGCCAAAAACAACATGTTTTTAAAAAGCTGCATGACATCGCAACTCCTCTATAGTTATGGTACAATTTATATTCTGCACTTCACTCAACTCTCCTATTATCGGCATAAAAAGCATGCAAATAAATTTATCTGACAAAAAGCCCTAGTAGTTCTCAACATTGCCTCATGCTTTCTATGTCAATTTGCAGATTAGAAAGGAAACAAAGATTTAAAAATGATCCACCTCTAAAGAAGATTTCAAACAGTGCAAAATTAATGAGTGAACATTCTGGAGTGGGGGGGGGGGGGGGAGGGGGAGGAACCCACAAACAGGACTGAGCATGGGTTTTTTTCTCCCATGGATTCTCAAAAGATTTTTATTTTTTTTATTTTTTTTTTAATGTAAGGCATGTTTTCTTGTTCATAAATTGTCATAGCTTCAGTGAATACAGTCAGCCATTGCAGTACTAACTCAGGACTGATACCTCGGTTTCCCACATTAAAAAAAAGTGCCTGTTTTAGGTACCCCAGCCTATGATTTCTTTTCAAGCAACAAAACATTTTATTTCTTATAGTTCAGAAGTCTGATTCTTAAGGGTGGGTTTTTTAAGCTGTCTTTAGCGACACTATTAAAATAGGCCTTGCCAAAAGCTTGGTGATTTATGACTTTAATTCTTTCCCTAACAAGCTGAATAAAAGGTCTCTTTCATATCCTAACAATAACTTAACAGAGATAATCTTAAGGTCTTACTGGAAGCCTTTGAAGAGAGAGATGAAGATGCAGAGTCATGGGAATGAGATCTTTCTCTTTTCATAGGACTTCTCTTTTCTGAAGTAGAACCTGTTTCAGGAAAGGTAGCAGGGGAAAGCAAAAACAAAACATGATTTAAATAAGCCTGTAAGAAGTTATGGCTACATAACTTCTATGGCTATTGAAGCAGCAAAAAGAACCCAAGTTTGTCTGGATTTTGTCCTCATCCTGACACCATTTACAATGTGAAGAGTATCTACTTCTGCTGTGCAGTTTTGGATTAGTCTGCGGTCTGATCTAACTACACTGAGCTGCAATAGCCTCACAAATAAATTCTGCTGCCAGTAGTTGGCAATTTCCAGGCATGTCTCAACCACATTTTATCTTTCAAACCCATGCCTTACTTTCCTCACAAATCAAGTGTCAGGGAAGCCAACTGACAATGAGCTCCACTTTGTCGGTACGTTATGAAATTACCTCCTACCCCTTACGTTACAACTCTATGGACAAATTACATCTCAGCTTTTGGTAATGACAGTCTATATTTAGACAGCCACCAAGGATATTTGCTTGAGGTTCATAGCTTAGGCTTCTATGTCAAAATGCTTGTTTCTGTACAATTTTACCACAATAAACAGATACATAAGCACTGCTATAAGTCTATCTTCTCAGCTGCTCTGAATTGAGCCCTTGAGAAGCATACCATAGTTAATGGACTAGGAAAATAGCCTTACAACTTAGGTACCTAATGTCAGTGCACCTTTGACTCAGATCACATATAATCTTGGCTTTCTTCAACTAAATGGGCAGAGGTATTCATCCCGCTTAAAGCAGGCTTCTATTGTAAACAGTCAGAGTATGACCATAGGTGTTTCATTTGTACATCAAAAGAATTTGTTTGATTAAAGTAAATATTTCTGTTCTGCTTGTTCTGCTCTCTTTGCTATCAATGAGTAAGAGCTCAATAAATGAACAGTAACAAGGTCTCCTCTTCATTAGTTAAAGGAAAAAAAAAAAAAAGGAAATGAAAACAAGTAGTTTGAGATTTAACTAATTTACAGGAACTAAAATTCCTAGTTTTCCCCAATTGCAAGGTACAACAAACAGTAAAGAAAAAATGTTAAGAAATTAATGGTATCTCATAACATCCATCAATTCCCACACAAATTAAAAAAAACACTTTCTGGGTAAGTCACTGTATGTTTACATATGATATGTTTTAATAGCTCTTAAAAACTGATAAACTCGCCAACTCTACCATTTCAATTTGAATTCATGGACAGCACTCAGGAGTACTCAAGAAGCACTTTAAAGTTGCTACATTCAGATATTTCTTCTAGCCATGATGTTTAATTCTTTACAAACTAGAGACTATTCAGCTTGACTTTGAACAGTTCCCTTGGGAGGAATCTTCAACATTGTCAGTATGTAAGGATAGGTTAGGCAGAATCAGTGAGGGGGTTTTGGTGGAGATGTCCCTGCTGTGAAGTCACTGCTTCCCAGATGGCAAAGCACAGAGAGGGAAAAAAAAAAAAAAAAAAAAAGGAGGGAGAGAGGACAGAACCAATTAGCAGAGAAATAATACATGCAGAAGCATGATTGTGACAGATTAAAATGCCTCAGCAGCAACACTCTCTGGGCAGGGAAGGGTGAGAGAACAGTGGTTCACTAAGATAAAGCAAAAGTGAGGAGCAGAGGTAACTCAGTAAAGCTAACACTGGCTAACCTTTACTGACTAGATATCACACATAATTTCGTATTTTCTAATACAACTCAATCATTTTACAGCTTCTTTTAATATTATTACTAGCAATACCTTCTGTTGCTATTTCTTCATCTTCGTTATCAGTGCTGCTTAGTTTCTCTGGGTCACTTTCTAACACATCGTTCATAACTGCTTTCTCTGTGTGAACTTCTGAGCTCACAAAGTATGCTGCCAAACCAAGTTCTTGCTCCAAGGTTGTCCTTACCAAAGAAGATGAATTTATTAAACGTAGGTCACAGTATCTCAGTGATCTGGAGAGAAACAGATATGGTAATATGAAAACTCACTGTAATCTACTTTATTTCTTTTCCAGATGCAGCCAAATGGAAATTTTTTTTAATGATATACTTAAACTATGGATGAGATAGAGCACAGTATATCTTTGGTGCTTAATAGGTTTACCACTATGGTGTGCACAGTTTTATTATTCTTAATCCAGTTAAGCAGCTTAACTTAATGTTCAGTGCACTGAACATTAACATCAGCACAAGAAAAAGAGTATCATTTGGGTTTTAAGCCTAATACACAGAATGGGATTCAATTGAACATAAAAAACCATGCAGTGCTATTTTGGTGGCCCCAGGACATCCTGTCTGCCTCCCAGCTTCAACTCCAGAAGGTGTGGATCTCTTCACATGTCCTGTAGCACATATGCCAGCATCCTGCAGATGTCTCATCTACCTTTTGGTGTCTGAAGTAGCTATAGATTTTTTATTTTTATTTTTTTAATATATCCTTACTCTCTCTTGTATAGTGGGACAACTCTCCTACCACTTTTAAGTTATTTGTATCTTTCTATAAGCAGGGGATTGTTATTAATAATAAGCTTCTTGTATTTGTGATATAAAAATGGAAAAGCAACATCTTGACACTGAAATCTGCTTTCTTCTCTCACGAGCATTTAAACAGTTAATTTTTAAACATTTGGAAAGCAATGGATAAAAAACTTCCACTGAGAAAATACCAGATCTTCTTACCGTGGCAAAGACTCCCCCTGTGGATCCATACCACTAAATATTAATATACAAGGCAAACCCTCCAACTCCAAATAGGTCTGTGGCCTCCAATCTACATCTTCAATTTTCTGCCAGACCTGTATAAAATATGCTGTTGGACATACTGATATGGCACAGATAAAAATACATTTTATCATTCATTATATGAATCGATTTGTACATGGATAGAAATTCCACCAAGGTAAGCCACATAGCAGAGCCAATTACAGGTAGATTTCACCGTTCCTAAAGACTTTCAGGTAGCAGTCTGACTGTTATAAGCCTGAGGAAATTGGGACAGTATGTTCTGGTCTGAAAAGTCTCGACTCCATCTGCACACTGCTGAGGCTAGGGCATACACAGATAGAGTGGATATAGTGCATGAGACGATGAGGATGAGCTTTGGGAGACAGAAGAAAACAGAGACTTGCTTCTTAGGGCAGATAAAGTATGTGTGTCTGAGTCCAAGGAGGGAAATGAGTTAGGATTGAAACCCTTTGACCTTAGAGCAATAGCAGGAGGCTGAAAGTGTTGAACATGCATACACCACAGCCCTCACTTAATACCCTCTGAAAACTTCTGCTCTTCACCAAAGTTGTCAGTTCTTCTGGTAACTTCATGAGAAGTTCAATAATTAGATATATGATTTGAATCTTTAGCATCAGGCTATAAAACTTTACTCACATCAGTCAGTACATTTTGCTGTGAGACTGACTTACTACAGATAAGGAATACACAGCAGGAGCAACAGTAAGACAATTCAGCTTCTGACATTTGTACATTTACCACTGTTGTGCATGACTGTGAAGACAAACAGAAAGTGATTCAGAATTAATACTAGTTGTTTGTCTTTTTTTTTCAGAAAAAAAGAAAAAAAAAAGTTACAAATAGCAGAGCAAGATTAGAATTAGGCCCTGGATTTCTAATGATTTTGTCTAACATATCACATTAGGCACAGTACAGAGTGTAATATACATTTTTGCTTTGATGATCAGATGTTGGTAATTTTATGAAGAACAAGGAAATATCAGAGGCTTTTGTTACATAGATGACCCAAGACTCTAGACCTAAAGCACATAAATGAATCCATGAAACAACACATGGTCCAGAAAACATAAAGCAAGTCCTGAGCTGTGAATACCAGGGTGTTCGAGGACTCATAGCTGGCATCACTGATTTGGTGCCTTCATGCCATCTGCTGGTGAGAAGAATAATATAAACCTCAACGGGTCACTGATTAAAATCTTTTTGAACTACAATAACTTTGTGAGAAAATGATAATTTTATTTGGCTGTTTTCCCTATTGTTATAAATAAAAGCAGTTCAGCTGCTTGGGAGGGTTACTGCTGGCAGCCACGTTCTAGCTACATGAGTTAATATTCAACTGAGTAACCAGAACACAACCAGAGTGAGGAGAGTAAAGGAATCACAGATTGGATGTCTAAAAGATAAAACTCATGCTCCTTACAGTAGTTTTGAGTTTTACAAATAAGAATCACACTTCAGCTTACAACCATAACTCTCACCAATAAAGTCTCCCCACCTACCCATCTAATGAAGCTTCCCAGTATATTTCATTCTGTAAGTTACCTTTAGTTGCTCCACAAAGTGCTTCCCTATTGTGATTCCAGAATTAGGATTTCCCAAGATTATTTCAAAGTTATCTTCAAGGGCTAGTCTTTCCCTTACATTATACAGACGTTCATATGCCACTGCAGCCAGCGGGGTACATGGAATTCTCAACACTACCATGAGGCCATGACCACTAGGACATTGTCTTGAAGAGTTTATTAGGTTTTGGGTGATTTCCAGAGTTTCAACTGAGGTGTAATTCTTCATCTGAGAAAGACCACACACTGCCATCATAGCTGCAGAGTAGTGTTGTATGAGGACAAAAGTCCTTATCACTGCACTGTGTAATCTGGGAAACCTGAAATAAATGGCAAATTAAATAGTGAAGTATTAAAGACTAGAGTGAAAAAGCTAACGTTCTCCAAAATATAGTAAACTTAAGATTTCGTCCTGTAAAGAATCCTTCATATTTACTGTACAACAGACTCTCACCAAAGTGCAGTTTGATAGTTCTTGCAATACATCATTACACAATCAGAACTGATGTTGTCTCTCTATTTCTCAGTACAAATTTAATAAGCAAAGAGTTCAGTAATGTTACATCACTTCAAGTAACCAATACTTTACTGCTGTTACAAAAATTATTACAGAATATTTGCTAATGCACTCAGTAATACCATCAATCAAAATCAAGGCATTTGTCAACAAGAACAGTATTCTTCATGATATGTTATCTTTAGGTGTTTTTTTCTCTTGTTTTCTTACTAAAGCCCCAAACTTGTTTCCAATAGATTCAATAAATAGGCAACGTTCAATGAGCACTCCATGTTTCCCAGCCCAGGTACACCCTGTCTCAATCCCCATTCTACAGTAGGGAGAAACATGGATTTGTAAGAGCTTCCTGTGCTCTGGTTTTTACAAAAAGGAAACCTGAGTGCGAAGTACAAAGAGAAACTATGGCTTGCTCAGAAATGCACCTCATGTGTGTGATCAGAGCTCCACAGCACCTGGTAGCAAGCCCCATAAGTTGTGTGGACATGCTCAGTCTGTCAGTTACCAATATGAATTCATAAGATTCTACTTGTCCTGACTTATTCTTGTTATAGATCCCAAAGAGTTTATCCACAGTTGCATGCATTCATGTGCAGTGATTCTAGACTTGTCTTGCAAGGACCAAGGAAACTTAACTGTTGGTGTATTTTCAAACTGTGATGATGCTCAGAAGATTTTTACCACTGACTTAAGTGTACCAAACATAGTGATATACCTCCTTCTCTTTTTGGTCCTTTTATGCAGTATACACAAATAATACAACAAAATCAGCCAGGGTCAGCAAGTGATAATACTGGACAAAAGTGAGAATGTGTTTGAATTTCTTATAATAATCTGATAATGTAATTTCAGATTATTGTAATATAGAAGTAGCTACTGGTTCCATCCAAGTACACACATTAAAACAGGCTGAACAATGTGCATGTTCATGGTAAGAGGCAGCCTAGACTAGTTAGATTACACACGAAATGTGCAAAAAAAAAGATTAAAGAAAATATGAACAAGTGAAATGCCCTTGTATACAGAGTTGATTTGTGGAACAGTGAGAAAAAAGAAAAAAAAGGTTTCTAGCTAGTAACTCAAGACACTAGAAAAATACGCTTCCTAAATTTCCTGCATTAGACCAAGAAGTGTACTGTACCTCTTTCCCAAAGCCATGACCATTGCTTCGAAAGAGCTGTCGTACCGAAGCAGTGGAATACTATGGCCAGATAGAGTGGATTCAATGAATTCTGACAGTCCAAAGTATTTCTTGTTCTCATGATATAAATCTACACCCTAAAACAAAGGAAGCAATACCAATTTAAAGCTAGCAAATATTAATGTACAATTGAATCGCTGTTATCTGATATATTTGCAGTCACATTCTCCAACAAGCATACATATACTTAGATGCATACTAAAACAAAGAGAGAAAGAAACAACTAATTTTTTTGAAAGGAAAGAAGTTTGACTTCATTTTTCCCTGTTTCTTTTTCTCTCTACTCTCTCCCCATATATACATAAGTACAGACAGAAGATCTATGCAGGTTAAATATGCACACATATCCAGAAAATTCATGTACCTACATTTCAGATGTTGATGATTTTCAGGTGCTTTCCATTTATGTAGCTCAAAGACTAACTAACTAAGCGCAAAGCTACTACAGTTTATAGGAGATATAAAATGAATAATAATAATAATAAAAAAAAAGGCAAGAAATGACAGAATAAGCAAGGGTTAAAAAAAAAAAAATAGTCACAGACTAAATAAACAAACAAACAAAAAAGATGCCATGCAAACTTCATTCTTGTCCACAAAAATCATAGGGCCTCCAAAGTTCTACCAAGTATATAAATGTAAAATAACTTATGAAAAGCTTGCAAAAGCATCTCGAAGCATCCATCTTACATTGCTGTATGAAGAAGGCCAGTGGATCTCATTGTAAGGGCTGATATGAGTATGCTGCGTCTGGAGCGCATAGGGGAAGGAAGTTACATGGAGTGTCACAATATTTGGCGCCTCTTTCACCTCCCTGCAGTTCAACAGTCTATCGACAAGTCCTGTAGACAGTTCTGTTTGAGGATAAAGGCTATGCATAGCACTGCAAAAAAGAAATCCAAAATTCTCCAAAGTGATTGGCACAAGGGAACATTTGGGTCCATGGGATAGCTTTAACCTGGATGTGAAATTGAAGTTAAACATATACAAGGAACTTAGGACTCTATTCTTTACCCTGCTTTTGTTGTATAGAAGGATGGGAAAAGAAATGCAAATTTTCAGTGCACCTGAAAATTTCCATAGGACTGGTTAACTCCCTAGCTAGCAAATTACCAGTTTCTTACAACCACCAGAATATGAGAGAGAAAGGATGAAAGAAAGCTGACGTTATGGCAGTTACAAATAATCACATAGTCCTCTACTAAATTTGGCCAGATTGTTAGAATTGCCCCTGAGACAATATAATTCTTGCCTACAAAATCAAGATAGAAAATGACAGACTGTAAGTCAGTACAACAGAAAGACAGAGGGAAGCTACCTGTGACAGATCTATTACAAAAAGGAAGAGTAGTTACTGTTAGGGCAAATGCCGGTATCATAGAACACCTACAGTCAATTCATTGCTCCAGAGTAAGACTTCAGTCCAAATTCATGCTACTTAATTTTTGGCATTTACTAGCAGTGACCAAGTTACAATCCTAGTCAGTGCAAGTTCCTGTTATCAACACACAGAGATAAGTAATTCCAGGAATTTGTTGTTTCCACCCAAGACCTATGCCAGCTTTCAGAAATGCCCATGTCTCTGTTGGGTCTGTGTGGGCAATCCCAGGCAGTTAAACTCCTCTTTTAGGCACCTTATTTAACAACTGACTTCAGTTAGGGGGCATGAATCCTGCTGTACAGAATAATCGCTTCAATATTTGCCACTGACATGTCTTTTTTAGATAAAAGTAAAAAAAAAATAAAAAATCAGAGGTTAGTAGCAATACGGGTACATCTCTATCCCTCAGGGATGTTATATGCCTTAAGGGCCATTGTTTAAGTTCCTAAGATATAGAGGAGTTGAACAGGAAACCCTCACATATGCAAAAATACAGGCTTGATGAAAACACCGGTTCATAACCAGTGTGAAAGTCAAGGTCTTGTCATCTCATTCACAAGCAAAATTCAAAGGTTTTTTGTTTCAGAAACACTATGATGTTTGCAATGTTGGAACATGCTGGTGTTTCTGGAATTCAGCACATTCTCCAACTTCCCCGGTGCCTCAGGAGATACAAAGCAAAAGCAGCCCATCTTCTCAACAGGCAGACTGCTAAGAAGGCAAAGAAACAATGAGCTATACAAGTGAACTGACAGGGAACTTGGTAAACATTGAACAGAAATCTCTCTGCTCCCTTGAGACATTTACCTGAAATCATGTACATGCAGAAACATTCAATTCCTACAAAGTTAAAAAAAAAAAAAAAAAAAAAGCAGCTGTGTTGGCTCACTAGCTGCCTAGTCACTGTGGAGGGTGTTTGCATGTTCTACAGTCCAGAGGACTCTGACAGAGGATAATGAATTTTGTGTACTTTCACAGGAAGCTTTCCTTTGAACAAACAAAAACCAGCCAGAAAAACGATAGCTGTGGCTGAAAGAAGGTAAGAATGGTGAGCAAAGAAAGCTGAAATGTTCCACTGGGGCGTAATATTACAAGCAGAACAAAAATAAGTCATGAAGAACCTTAAAAGAAAACACAGTTATTCAACACATGGGAAGAGAAAGTTAGCAGAAAGTTGCAAAGAGAGATGAAGGAAGACATAAATCATAAATCTGATCTTGAGAACTAACGCAAACAATAATTTTTCTGAAGTTGCAGTTTTCTTACCTCATTAGATCCCAGTGTGCGTGATCATGGATTAAGACAAACAGCGTGTGTGGATTCTGCATAGAGTTTTGTAAAAAGACTTTGAACTTAATCTGGGCGTCTGCATCTAGTTTCATAACATACTGTTCTACCCTCTGTTTTGTAAGATGCTCCTTTTCTAATCCAAGTTCTAATAAAATACCTAAAGAAATGGAACAAATATAAGTATTTCCAGATACAAATATTTTTAATGGTTTTACTGTAAATCCAAATAAAATAAGCACCTGAGTGCCAGAGATGAAACAAAGTCTGCTGATAAGTCACTTCAGAGGGTGGAACACAAATCAAGAAATCAATTTTCTCGAAGGAACCCAAATCAAGATTTTGAGTGCTGGAGTCAGCAATTGAGCAAATATGAGACAGCAGTTTCTGAGCCACTGCTAGCTGGAATGGACGAATCTGATGCCGTTCAATCTCATAACCTGGAAAATGACAAAATTCTGTTTCGATATACATGCAAAGTCTAATTGAATGCAAAATCTTAGAGACTGGTGAATAATAATTGAGCTATACTTTAAGGTACTTTGCTTATGAGTCTGAGTTCCAATTTATGAAAATCTATATGGAAAATTAAAAGAAATCTTGCTGCACTGGGGCATTTTGGCCCTGTAAATCCCTTAAATATTGAAGAGCTGAAACTGAACTTGTGCAACAGCATTCTGCTACCACAGAAGTAAGACTTAGAGCTTCAGGGAGTACAGTATCTGATAAAATGAAGTAGAGCATCCATCAAGTGTAAACCTGCATGTCCCAAGATGTAAGTTCCTGATCACCTCAGAACAGAATTTTTCAAGAGTCTAGGACTCTGCCCAGAAGTATTTAACTGCACACCTAAAGACCTGTGTTTCAAGTAACTGACTGTTAACTGTTTAGAAGGTATTTAAGGTATTTCTTACTTGTACACACAGCTGCTCCAGTTCCATTCAGCGCTGTTGATTTATTCACTGAAGCAGACAGTGATGAAGAGATGTGCCCTTGGTTTTCCTGATAAAACTTCTCCAGCAAAAGATCAATGTCACCCTCTATCAAATTGAAAGTATAGTGGTATAAACGTCCAGGTTAATAACAGCTGCATTTCATACTGATTTTTTTTGTAGGTCTTAAAGAGCTTTATATATGCTAGGTAGTTGCCATGCTCTTAGCTTATTGGCTACTTTTTACAGGAAGCCTCATCTTTTTCTATTGTATTAATATTAATAAAATGTATATCAGGCCAGGGAATGACAGATCAGCTATGCAGACCTCTGCCTAGGACATTTATAGAAGATACCAGAAAACTAGCTCCAAAGCCCTGATCTAAATCAGCAACAACAAAGACTTCAAAGACTTTAAAGTGACTTAGTTTATGTCCTGACCATTGAGCTGCAGTGTTTGCTAATAAGGATTATGAGAAGCATTTGAAAATCTGGTGCAGAGCATAAATATTACTACATCTTTAACATTTTTGAGAGAGAAGAAAAATCCCTATAAAGCTGAAAGATAAATGAGAGTTTTACTGAACTAAGCATATCTGCAAACGCATCCTATTCTATCCAGCAGGGACGCTGCTTACAGATGATAGCTGTGCAGAAAATACAGTGTGCCTGTTCAGAGAATTTAGTATTTTCTCAGCAGTTGAAAAGATGTTTGAACATGTCTGCTGCAGGGCTTAGAATGGCAGGGTCTGCCCTGTGAAGTGCAACCCAATGGATGTGGATGTTCATTTACTTGTTCTGTTCAAACAAGTAAAAATCTCTGCAAAAGAGATTTTGAGAACCATACCTTGAAGATATTGGGAACAGAGACATGATGGTTCTAGAAAAACAGGTTTCTCTTTAGTGACTAGTCAAAATACCATGACTTATCCATAAGTGTTCTTGCCTTCTGCATACAGATTTACTGGTGTGATATGCATGGAGAAGGGGACTGTGACATGCCTTTTACACAGACAAGCATGCTGCATTTGCTCTAGTTGTGTGATGTAATTACACTTTCCATGTGGCTCAATCTATTCCTAGATAATCCTGTTTGTAGTAATCCTCAGTATGCTCAGTTAAAAAATGATCCAGTAACCCTGGCTCTCCGAAATTTTCTTTTCTCTACCATGCATTAAAATCAAGCTCACAGTATGGTAAGTTCAAGGAACAAAATTTTCCTTCAATGAAATAAATCTTTCTATCATGGTCTAAATGAATTACGTGCTTTTGGCAGAAGAATCTATATCTGTTCACATGGATATAGACTTGCATGTTTTGTGAATGGATGTGTATACTTAAGCGTAATATGTTCAGTTACTTACTGACGTATTTTCATGAAACTAAGGGATTTTAGAAACTGACACTTTTAGGAGGAACTTCAATTCAAATGTACTTTCACAACTTTGTCCTGTATATTTTATTCATTTCTAATAGTATCTTGCCAGTGGAAAAGTAGTATAGCTATTTTCACTTACTCAAAAGATTCAGGGACTTGGAAACATGCCTGTTTGTAGCGTATTATGTACCTGGGCAGAGGGTGCTAAAGAAGGACCCCAGAGTTTCTACTTTCCCTGTGACCAGCTGATAGTTAACTTCTTTTTGGTAGTCTGAAGGAGTAAGCATGCCCTCAGACAGGATTCTTGCCTGATACTTTCCTAAAAGAAAAAAAAAAAAAAAAAAAAAAAAAAAAGTCATTTTGAAAGCACTTCAAACTAAAGTAAAAATGTTCAAAGTCATAATAAACCCCAGCTAAATGAATCTTCATGAATCTTCCCCCCATAAAAGTGGCAGAGATCAATCTTTTTTTTTTTTTTTTTTTTTCTACACACTTATGCACCATCCGTCTGTCAGATAGATTCATATTTTATAATTCCATATGTTTGTTTTCCATTTTAGGGGGTATTTGTTGACACAGTATACAAAAAGAGCATGCAAATAGTCAAAGATATTAATGAATCTTTGTATGGCTATTCAAGTAATTTATCAGCATAGCCATCAACAGGTTGTTGAAGGCAATAAAGTTGAAAGACTGTATTTTAGAAGCCAAGAAAGTGTTCAGGCCTCTACTCACGGTAGTATCCCAGTCACACAGAGCAGGAGAGTTTGACACAGTGTGTGTGCTGGTAACTTGCCATAATTTGTAGTAATGCCGTCTCAGATACATTGGTAAGAACACAGATAATTCATACAGAATGTGCTCACTGTGGAAGAAACCCAATTGTGCTTCTTGATCTTGGGTTCAAACCCATTACTCTGGGTTCAGTGCTCTGGTTTGCTGGGGCAGCTTACTGAAACTCCTCATCTCATTGAATGATTCAGTTTTGCCCTTGGGATCTCACCTGTTATCACAATGCAGGAATCAATGGCTCGATTTCTACCAGCACATATGATCACCACGTAGTTTGTCTTTATTAATTTTCCTTCAATGAGCAGCTTAAACATTTCTGAAAGCCCTTCAGCCAGAGAGTAGCTGCACTCAATGATGTGGACGCTGTCATTACAGGAGCTAGCTGCCAGGCCTGCCAGCCAGGGAAGCTGGGCTGAGGTCACTGGTGCGATCTGGCTGGGCACTTGAGGAAAGCTCTGTGGAATTGCCTGTTGGTACTGCCGGATTTCAGATAGGTGAGATTCCCGCCATGAACGCATGAATATTTGTTCCAAATCTTCAATCAGAGGGACCTGGTCTGAGGCTAAAAAAATTTAAGAGGAAAGTGTTCATATTACAAAACAAATGAACAAAGCTGTAGAGTTAAAAACATTTGTTTTTCAAAATAAGTATTTTTTTAGAGGTGGTCATGTTTCAGGTTTATGCAAGCATGCCTACTGACATTAGAAGATGCAAACCATTTCTTTCATTTTGGAGTGTTGTTGTGAGGCTCAAGTAAAACTGCCTTAATTGGAACCTGGCTATTAGAAATATTTAAGCGGTTAAGTACTGCCTGAGTCAGCATAATACTACTTCTAAACCATGGACTGTATGCAAGAACAATTAATTACAGTTGGTTTACTTTTTATTTTTAATTGCTGTAGTCCCAAATTATAGGAAAAGATGAACTTTTTGTGGTTATATTTCAATCTGTGTCTGGTCTTCAAGTACAACAAATTATTTAGCTTTAGAAAATAATCTTACCTAGCTGAACAAGGTAGTAGACAGTCAGCAAGAGCTGCATTTCCTCTGAAATAGGCTGTATTGTGGATGCACCATATTGTTCATATGCTCTAGATAGAGACTGTGAATTTCTGTAACAGGTGTACAGCAAAGGACTCACTATCACATCATTAATGTTCCCGCAAAGATATGGGAAGTTTCCATGACCTGTGAAATGAACAATATTTGTACATATCACATTAATTTCATATTTTTGTGTGTGTGAATTAAACAATTTTAATAGTAGATATTTAACAAGTGAAAGATTAAGCAGTATTTGGCAGTAGGATTTATCTTTGCATCTCTTATAAAGAAATACATAAGGTCTTGTTGAGTGCTTGGGTGTGTTGTTTTTTTTACCTTTAAAAATAACTGGCTTTGCTTTACAGATTTTCAGCAAGTTGTCAGGAACTGAGACCGGTTCTCCTGAGCCCACCATCGGAGATGAGGCTGGCCCCACCAAAGCAGAATGTGGTAGAGATGATAGGCTTCCTCCATCTAAGATTGTACACATAATATTACTGGAGAAAAGTTTAATAATGATTTCCTCAAAGAAAAGTTATTCAGCATCATCTTAAATCCACTTTTAGTGTCAGTGTTACATAATTTTGTGGCTATTTCACACATTTCATGAACTGTTACTACAACGCATGCTCACTTTCTTGGAAGATGTATTGTAGTGGCCTTAAACATGCATCCACAGATTTTAAAATAGAACACATTAAAAGAAAACATTCTGGGGAAAGCTGGTTTGTTTCACTGCGTGGCATTTTAGTTTGTATTTAGGCTATAAAATCCAAGTAAGTGCCAAAAAGACTGTGACACATAAGAGAAACAATGGATGATATACTGACCTAACTTATGACACTAACTTTAATTTCCCAAAGGTGTTTAGGTGTCTAAAGATAGATACAGGCATTTGTTGCAATTTATTAATAATGGCTCAATGATTGGATCCTAATGAGAGTTAAGCCCAGACACCTCAAATATGTAGCACATAAAAAATGCACATAAAAAATGAAGCACATAAATAAATAAAAAAAGCACATAAATAATTCTGGCAGTGTAGGTATTAAACAGGTTTCAAAACTGTACTGAGAATCTGTATGTATCTTTAAAATACTGCTTCTTTTCCCCCATTATTTTCTGAATAATGAAATGAACATCATCATTACCTTGGATATAGCTTACCATTTTTAATTCTATTTGGAACTTGTGGGTTGAGCTGCAAGTTCCAAGTTTCAGTAGATGATGGAGATTCTGGTGACCAACCTTTATGGCGCTTTTTTGGAGGCCCTGAATTTGTTAACGTGCCTGAATAACAGGAACATTTCAGAAAGTATTAGAACTGAATGTATTCATTTGTGTGCATGATAATTCAATATGTGTCGATGGACTGTATTAAGTACTGTGGTAAACAGGGTCAACTCCATGAACATCATCATTTTTTATGGCTTTTGTTTTCTTTTCCTATCTTCTGCTTAAAGACATGGAAAATTTTTGGTTCAGAGATCTCTTAATCATCTTGGAGACTTAATCTATTTTATATCAACGTTTACTCTGTACTGAGTAATGTGCTAATGAGTAATGAGGAGTACTAAGAATACTTATTTGTATTAATACTTTGAAGTCAACACGATGGGCATTTTGCTCCTTTTACTTCTAAGTACATAATACTGCATTTCATGTAACATTTAATAACATTTTCAATGGTTTCAGCATTGTATTAACAAAGATCAGAGTTCTTTTTAACAATTTTTCTGTTGTCAGGATTTTTATACTTGCTAGTGGTTACTGTTTTTGATTTTGACATCCTATACTAACTCCAAGTAAGACTTCTGTACTTTCTTCCTATCCAATTTTAGCTCCAACACCTCTGTCTGTAAAACCATAACCAACTTTCTCACAGTTTTCCTGGGAGCCCATGACCACTACATTTTTGAAACTTTTTTCATTACTTTATTCAGTCTTCTTGGGCACTCCTCCAAACTCCTAGAATGATGAGTTTCCACTAATATCAAGTATTTCTAATCATTGAGGGTTGGTAGTCCTTCAGGAATTGCTTGAAGGACTGAGTTATCTCTATTTATACATGTGAATATGTAAAACCCTTAACTACTTCATACTTGCAGGTCAGTATCTGCTGGCCAAATGATTAGTCCCATATAAAATTCTAAATGGAGCGAGAACCTGGTATTACATATACATGTATATATATAAATATATATATATATAATGTTGTTGTTGGTTTTTTTTGTTTGTTTGTTTCTTTTGCAAAGGATATTAAAGTCAAAAGTAAAGCAGAAATCTTTAGATTTAGAATAAGGTTGTTCATTTGCAGAACAGTGTATGTGCACATTAAGGATCACTTTCTCCTTTAAACTACTACCATGTGAGGGCAGTATTTAGCCATTTGTTCTGATCATTCTTTCGTTTAGCTTCCTGGCATAAGGTTGTGCCAAAAGCGTAACTTCAAGATATTTAGTGTAATACAAAGTACTTTTGAAAATGCCTTACTACTTACTACAGGACTATCTAATATGTTGACATGTGAAGGTAATCCACCTGAAATTAATTGGCAAGATCAGTTTACTGAGAACATGTTTCTGCATGCAAGAAAGAGATCAAGAACCTGAATGGGCAGAGAGAAAGAATTTGGCTGAGATACTAGCAGGGCAACTTGGGAAGACTTATTCTAAAACAGAGATATAACATGTTTCTAGGCACAGTAAAGACTAAAAAGAACTTTCTTACTCAAACAAGTCAGTGACGTAACATACACTTTGTGACAGAAAACAACACAAATCATGATAATAGTGATTCAATGAGGAAAATTTATTTAATTTGGAGCCAGTTGTCAAAGTAGCAAGTACATCCCAAGGTGGACTGGAACACAGAAATTACCTATGTGTAGTTACTTATAAATCTTTCTTAATTCCATGCACAAAACCTGTTAGGTGACATTCGTGTAAACAAATGCATTATTTAAGAATCTAGAGTAATAGTCCAGTCTGTACTTCTCTAAAATGAGAACATTTGTAAGTGCAATGAAAAACTTCCAATTAAGAATCTGAACTTTAATAAAGCTACGGCTAAAATCATATCAGTTTTTTTTCTGAAAATTAACATTAAAAAAAAAATGGAATTGTCACAAAAGACTTGGAAGGGAAGAGTAATTTCTATTCATAGAGAAAATTGTAATCATGGTATCTACTACACACATGGAATATAGACGTTGGGGTTATTAAACAACAAATCCATACAAATACCTAGCACCGATGGTCTTGTCAAAGCAGATAGGTTATTTTTCGCCAACTGTTGTTTAGGAGATTCCTTGCCATTATACACTGCGGAGCTGAATGCTGCTGTTGAAGGAATATGATCTATGCCTGCAGCTGGCAATAAAATAAATGTTATATACAATAAATATTTCTAGGTCATGATCCCCAGTTAATATAATTAAATGACCATTGACTTTAACAGAGCCATCAGGATCTGCTCAGTGAATACAACGCTGAATAATGCAAAGCCACTTCTGATCTCATACCAGATTATTGCTGTCTGATTCCTAAATGCCTGGGTAAAATCCCAGTCTGCAATTAAATACATAATTTCAGATCCTTTAGATTCTTTGCAGGTTCACCCTAGCTCTTCCATGAAGTTTACTTAAGAATCAGCAAAGAGAGTAAAAGAGTCCAAGCTTTGTTGTTTAAAATTTACTAAAAATGCCCTCAGCTTCAACTCAAAGTTGACATCCTTCTTCCAAACATCATTTTAATTGTGCTGCCTTAAAAAAGAGAGATTTTTGCAAGCCAAATATGCTTGTCATTAATGTAGTTTTTAAATATGTAACTTCTGGCAAACAAATGCCAATACTGCTATTATAAAGAGATTAATGATTTGTTCTGGAGGGGTACTGGCATTCCAGATCACAACTATTTAACTGGCTTCTGTCTCTCAGACAGAATATAACCGCCAACAGCTGTGCCTCCGTTCTCATATGTGGATCTCTGTAACTGTCACAAGAGACTATTCATTATGAAGAAGCTCAGAGAGATCACTTTAGCCTCTACCATCCATCACCTTTTATTTATGTAAGGCTAATGGAAAAGTAAATGTTTCAGAAAGCATTGTTAATACAAAGAAGTTACAGATATTAATCATTACTTTATCTTTTAATATTAAAGCTGCTTTTCTTCACAGAAGAAAAGGCTCAGAAGCTTCTAAGCCAATATCCATACAATCTCAGCAATAAAGGGAATTATAACATAAAATAGACTGGAGCAAGAAAACACCTATTGCAAGAAATGCCTAATCTTTGCCACTTTAAAAAAAAAAAAATGCTCTTAAAAATGTGGTTTGCTTTAGTTATGAACTAGCTTCAGAACACCTGGCTATTTTGTTATTTGCTAAACGTTTATACTTAAACGTAAGGGGAAAATATGGACAGCAAGAAGCCTTGACAGCATGATTCTTTTTTAAAAAAAATTTGAATGATACCTCTATACATACTCAATTTGCTTTATTTTATGTGGTAGTGTGCTTATTTCTTTGTCTCTCTGTTCATATAAATAGACAGATATGCACACACAGAATAGTAAAACTACATAGCCCAGTAAAATAATAAAATAATAGTAAAACTACAGTAACCCAGAGAGTTTTCCTTCTAAGCATTACCTGTTTGTTGCGTCCCAGCTGGAGTATTTGGATTTGCTGCTGGGAGAGGCTCACTTGACATACTTCCAGAGAGGCCTGAACTTTCTGGCAGCTGGAACAATGTGCTCGAACAGGTGCTGGAAGAAGACTGTCGGCCTCTGAACTCTGAAGAAAAAAGGAACTTGTTATCCACTGACAACAGCGACAGTCGCTTTTCTCTGTCTATCTGATTTGATAATTTCACACATGAATTACTCAAAGGCTACAGCACTTAAACGGGAGGAACTGATGGCATCACACATGCCATCCTTGTATTAGGGTACTCAATTGCTTTTTACAGCTGCACTTTAAGGAGCCTTTCTTTCAACTGATCCATCTTAGGTTTTACACAGACGCCAGCCCCTGTGATATCTAAGCTTGGATGATGAAAACCAGAGCCCGAGTAAGACAGCTTCATTATCTTACCTGCTCCTTTCCAGCAGATTACAGATCCTTTGGTCAGAGCTCCCTGTGCATTCCTGACCAGATAATACTTTAAGTGTTTCTGTTTCTTGGGCTGAGTGGTCAGTTTAAGATTAATATGATTTGAGAATTCTGTAAAGTAGCAGAAACCTTTCTTGCCACAGCCAACACAATTGCCAGAGAAGCCTGATAAAATAAATAATACATACAATCCAATGAGACAGGTTTGTCACTATTAATAACATCAAAACATGACTATTCTCTGGAGAAAAAGAGTATTTTTTTTAATAGATTGAGCTTTTTATTAATATTATCCTCCAGAAAAAAAAAAAAAAAAAAAAAAAAAAAAAAGCTATACCAAGTTCTCTGTGTTGCATTTCAGCTTCCAAATTGGAAATCGCAAAAACAGAGCTCCATAAATCAAATCAAATAAAATAAAATAAAATAAAATAAATAAATAAATAAAAGAGAGAGAGGGAAAAAATAAAATAAACTCTATCTCCATTTCCTCCCACCTGAAAAGAAAATCACAATACCTACCTGTGAAGCACTGCATTTCACTTATATTTTAACTTTCTTTGATAGAAAGCATGCAATTATGTCTCAAGAAATTAAGTATATTTAATCTATTATATTTAATTAGGTATAAGTATATTTAAGTACCAAGTTTCTACTACAGATGCTTGTTTAGAGAGGAAAAATACTAATGCCTTCTAGGGCTATTGATTTAAAGTAGCTATCTCAAATTATATGGCTGGACTGTCAGCACTTCATAATGGTTTAAGCTACCTGTGATTATGAACAAAAAAAAAAAAAAGTCTGTAACTTTACAGAACATGACAGAGACACAGTCCTTGCACATAAAGGAGCTTATTGTACTCAGGCTTAATGGGGCACTTCCAGGGATACTGCCATTTCCTCTCATTCTGAGGTACAAAGTTTGAGCCTCAAAGAGGAGTTCATGATGGTGATGGCATTATCACCATAAATAAAGAACATTCCTTGAACAGATGATTAAGACCATCTCCCTTTTCTTCTTAACGAACTTTAGCTTTCCATTTTCTAAAGTATTGCCATAAGAAATATAGTACTGCATAAAACCAATGAAACTATCTGAAAATATTTACAACTTCCAAAGAAATCCTACAGTGTGCAATTAGAAGATAATGCTCCCCATGAACATTTATCTCTATTCTCCACATACGCCCTGAAGCATGAAGGTTTCTTTTATTTTAATTACATCTAATGGACATCTTGATATGTTATCAAAGGAAATTGAAATTGAAAGGGTGAGTTCAGTGAATCAAAAGATAGAAAAAATAAAATAAAGGAAATTAATTTAACATAAAGGATGGAGAATACCATTGGAAATAAACAATGTAACTGCAGTACAGGCTAAATAATATGGTAGATAAAATTAAGAGCCATTTATGAGAATGATAATTTCCACTACATTTCAGGCAAATTATGTTTTCAAATTAATGGTCAGTATTTATTTTTCTTCTTAAGAAAAGTGAACTAAAATGCAAGCATAGTGCTTTGTAAACACCTGTTGCTTGCTCTATAACCAGAGTACTTTCATTAGTTTTCAAAGGGCTCAGAAGAATTCATTAAAAATCTAAGTTAATGTGGCAATTGGTCTGGTATCTATGGGAACAAGTGGATAATAACTACTGAAAGCTGCCTATTATATCACTGATGCTACTAGGTAGGATCATAAAATCAGGACAAGTCATGACTCTGCAGAATCCTCTGTGTTGTATCAGTCAACACAAAAGCATCTGTCTAACATCACAGAACCTTCAGTTGCTTCAATAAAAGCAACAACAAAAGGAAACAAAACTAGAATGGATGTGGTAAAAGCTGTAGAGTTTGTATGTATTTTATGCAGATTAAGAAACTACTGAACATGCTTCTGCTGGCAAATGAAAGCTTCCTGTAGATCTTCGAGGCATACTGAGCATGACCAGCAACATTGCAATTTTGGTTAGGTTGCCACTTACAAGCTTTTATTTGTTTCCAAATAGAAGCATGAGGGGACCATTTCCAAAAGTAAAATAGAAATGCCTGTTTCATTGTTTTGCTGAGTGTCCAGCAACTTGCCAAAGCCAAAGGTGGAAATTTTTGCCAAACAGAAAGTTGGGCAGTGGACATAAAATCTTTATGAGATCAGCCAGTATTGATAGCTCTTGTAAATTATCATCAGCTAAGACATATTTAACAAACTATAACTTCTGCCTGTAGCAACCTTTTGTCATCTATCTTAAACTCTACTGGGCAGAGTCTACTGCACCAGGTCTACTGGAAAAGTAGTTTTCACCAAGTATAGCATAGAGGTGATGCCTAGTAAGAATTCAACAGACCTTATGTCTTGTTTTGAAAAATCTTTGGAGAATATTTTAGAAGAGTTTTTGTTTATTTGTTTATTTGTTTTCCATTTAAACCAAACTAACATCTTTCTCATCAAACCTCCCCAGCTCCTCTGAGATGAACTAAGTCCTTTCTGGTAAGCTCCTGCCAACACTGTTTTTCATCCCATTCATTCTGACTGATACTTTCTCTGATGACAGTCATTGCCTTACTAACACAGCTCAGCCTTGGCATCACAGATGCGATATAGCATGACTTTATAATTTCAATGCAATACAATAACGTCCATTCATTACTCTTTTCAGGACTAACTTTCTGACTGAAGCATCTACTGCCAACCTCGCTTACAGCACTTACGTAGCAGATTGAGTAACACAGTGTTTGTCATGAGAGACTCCCCCATTCCGTGCGTGCCCTGTTCACATGCCATAACCAGAGGTAGCATCTGATGGAGAGGACAGCTTGTTTCATAAACAGGCTGCATTAAATATTCTTCCATACATTATAGAAAGGACAAAGGTCAGGGGAGTCAGGGCAGCCATAAGGTAACTCAATATATCTATGTCATGCGATTGATTTCACAAGAGAATTAGAAATCGATGCCTGGAGTTTAGGGGCTAAGCCTTTCACCTTTAGGTCACCAGTTCAAATTCAGCTCAGTTCAGTAGTGACTTAAGTCTGTTACCCTCTGAAGATTGTTTAATCAGAAGGTATTTGCTTGTGTCTGATATTTTATCGTATGTATTTGCTTGAATGTGCCCACATCACATTGATCAATTACTCATAATTTAAAAACCACTTCCACAGTAGGGACACCATGATCAGTAGAGGCCTTGGACTAGAAGGGTATGAAGCCTGCCCTACCTCATCACTTGGCAATGGTTCCTTTGGATTAACAGTGCGCTTGTGCTAAGGGTAAACAGATGAATTCAAGGTGGAAGGATATCCATCTAATGTTTCATAATCTAATCTTTCACATCCTGGTCCAACTGAAAATTTTCTTCCTGTTTCTCTTCTAAATGAATCATGGGGTTGTAATTAATGTTAACATTTATGTGATGTTAACGTTTTTGTGAAAAGGTGGCAACTTGCTTAACACAAAAAATTGTTTTTTCAACTGTTCAACAAAAATATTTCTTCACTTCTAAACACAAGCAAAAAGCACAAAAACATTGACAATGCTCCACATTTTTCCCTCCCATTGAGTACCACTAAATTTGAAGACTGAAGTACTACGTTTTAAAAATAAATGAAATGAACATGGTCAAGCTAGAAAGCTCCATGGTACAGAAACTCACTACTATTACAAAAGCTGAATAGAACATTGTATATTTTAATAGAAGTGCCACAGTGTTTCATACTGAAATGTTTTCATCTTACACACAGCTTAAAATGCAAGCAAACTAATCTTTTCCTCTGTCATTCTGACCTCAGGGACCCACTCTAAAAAAAAGGATTTCTTATTCCCTGCTAGGAAAGTGGGCAGCTGTTTGGTCTTTTTGGAAGGAAGATGGTGGGTGAATAGCTGCTTTGTTCATCATGAGAGACTCTCCTTATGAGTGAGAACTGGAAGGGGGTGGGGGGTAACAAAAGAGAGAAACCTTTGGGAGTGGTACATATTTGCTACATTGGCTTCTTTTATTAGAAAACAATAAATATTGCACTATCATAGAAGTTCTTCCTCCATCTACGCATTCCTTCAGGCTACAAAAGAACAAGAAACAGCTTCCTAAAGGCAAAACTTTAATTTGCTTTGCAGAGTAGTGAAACTTGGTGTGTAATTTGATTAATAGAAACATGCACAGTACGTTCTCAGTCTTCTCAAATGTAGACAACTTTTTACTTAAGAAGAATATAGCCCTTTCCAGAAAACTTTATTTATTATTATTTTTTCCCTGTGGAACAGTATATCAACTGCAAAACCAAAGAAACAAAACAACCTCAGTCTCCAACAAAAATGACTTTCAAATCATAAGCACAAATGCCTTGATTGGTGGGACAACTTATTAGCATAATCAATAAATTGGCTCATGCCCCACAGTCATATTAACAACCCCTAATGGGAACAAGACCATAAGTCAAAAGCTGGTCAGGAAACTACTGAGACATTTTGTTTTCTTTTGGAACTTTTGTACGTTCCATAGGCATCTTCGCAAATGTATGCAGGTGGACCATGAGAAATCAGGAAAATATTGGTTATTTCATTTGTGCCTTTCCCTAGAAATACATTCTTTTGGGGAAAAAAAAAAAAAAAAAAAGAACTACAACAACATACAACAACAAAGCCTACAATACTGAGTAATAACTGCCTTACAGAAACACAGTATATTAAGAGAAAAAATTATGAAAGAATGTGGTTCAAGGGTTACAAGCGATATGCCAGAATCACCAATAAGCCTTAGCAAAAGAGCAGGACATAGTTGGACATACTCTGACTCACAATGGCATCTCATTTCAATTCTAAACAAACTAATTTAAATTTCCCTATAAATTCAGACATGCTTCAGGGACCACTTTCTGGAAGGCCAAGATATTTGAAAGCAGAATGGCCTAAAGTCAGAATACAAAAGTAAGCCTTCTATCCTATCTTTTGAAACAAAGATAATAAAAGATAATAAAAAGAGGTTCCACTCTTCATAGTAGGAGTCTATGAAAAGTTTTCATCTTAAAACTAGCACAATAAAGAGGTGTTATCCTAATAGGCAGAGAGTTTAAAACAGTTGTCTTTTAGCTTACTACATGTCTGTAACTGAGACTCTTGATGTCCGCTTCTAATTTTACTTCCCCTGATTTGACTTGCATCAGAGTATGAAAATCAGAATCAAACAATAATTTCTACCAGATCTACTGAAACAATGTGGTAGTACAATCAATTGTAGCAACAGTATGCTATACTCACGTCAATGAGATACATCATGTTTTTTCATCGTATTATAGACTGAAAACATTTTTTTTTTCCAACTTACAGGTCTTTGGATCTTAAAGCTTACAGGTTCTTACAGATTTAAGCTTGTTATAGTATACACAAAAGTTATTACTAAAATGCTTTGCAAAAGATCATGATTTACTGGTGTCTAAATGTAAATCAGCCAAAAATAATCATATAAATGGTTTCAGAAAACTAAAACTAAATAAGCAAGCTGAGGATGCAAGTAATATAAAATCCTCTCAGTTATGTTCCTGTTGCCTTTTTCTGTTCTTGTTTAGCATGCAATTAACAGATACACTACTTCCTCCCTGCTAACAGCCTAAGGAGCTTAAGCTGTTAATAGTGCTAGCACTGAATGACTTGAGTGGTACAACATTCCTGTCTTTATCTTTAAAATGACAACACATGGGTGATTTATAATCCTCTTAATTCTTTTACAATCACTGTTCAAATGTACTGTGACCAACACAACTCTGCAAGATCACATGAGGAAAGAAATCACTGTACATAGAATTACATTATCCACCTTCACACCGTGCTGTCATCCCAAATGCCTTGAAGAGTGGCTCATACTGAGAAAACAACTGAGTTCACATCATATCCCTCAGTGTTTGTGAGAGAAAATAGTTAAAGGAAACAAGGACAAATGGTTCCTTTTTGCTATTTAAAGCTCAGACTGGTACACAGATAAATGATGAGGCATTTTTGGTTAACTAAGAAAAATAATACTTAAAAAAACAAGAATGCCTGATGAAGAAAAGAGTTCTCCCTCAGGTTATATACTATTTGTCCCAATGTAAAAACTATTCCATTTTAATTACATCAGTATTTAGTTCACTTATTCACATGATTGTGGATCACCCCAATTGTGTTGATTTGCATGAGGTTAATAGCAATCAGAAGGGCTATAGCAAAAATAGGTAGAAGGACCTAGTTTATGTTAGAAGTTAGACAAATGGATGAAAGGCAAGAAACTAGTAAGTATCCTACTTTTTTTTTTTCTTTTCTCAAAATACTGTGAATTGTAACATTGAATTCAAACACGCAGTATTACTTGATTATACATAAAGGAAAATTTTCAACTTGTAACCATTCATTTTTATGTCTATTGTGATAATAACTAAAAGTCATGGGTTAGGATCCAGAAGAAATTCTATTATTTATATGCAATGGAGAATATGATCCCTACCCTAAAATGATGAATGGAAATCATCTTAATTTTTTATAGTACAAACTATTGTCAAACTGTTCACATGTATACAGTAGCCAAAAAGGTTTACTTTGACAGACCTACAGCCTGCCCAAGTATGTTAGTATTTGGAAAGTTAAAATCAACTAGTCCAGTGACCAGATGTGTAGTTTCAGCAACTAGGACATAAACTGCCTAGACTATGACTTAATTCTTGGACTAACAGATAGAAGGTGATGAAGCATTTCTAATGAACTGGCTTCCTCTGTATCTTTCTAAATAGAACAAGCACAGCCAGCTCTGAGTTGTTATCTTGTTGAGCATCACCACTGAGAATTACTATACAAATGGAACAGAAATTAGACCTGCTGAACTCGCTCTACAAAAAAAGACTACCAATTAATTGTAGACCACAGAAGCATCCACTTACTCCAACCACAGACACTTACCCAACAGGGCATTGCGCCCATTGTCATCTGGCAGGAATCTTTTATCCACAGCACACACTAAAAGGTGATCAGGTAAATTTGGTGACTTTGCACCAACAAGTAAAAACCCTGATGGTACCTCGATATGTTCATTGGAAATTGAAACCAGTCTCAAATCTTTACCAGCCTGGCAGAAACCTAGAAAAAAAAAAATAAATAAAAAACAATTCAGTGTATTTTAAATTGATAAGATTATTAGTTTTTATTTAATACACACGATCTTCTTTATTAAAGAGCTTCTGACATTATTTTCATTTTTTAATGAAAAGCAGAGTTCTATCCTCCGAGGTGAAGGGCAAACTAAAAGACAGTTTTCTTCCCTGCCTTTTTGGTCAGCCATAAACAAATACTATGAGTACAATTAAAAATTAAAAAAAAAAAGACAAATCTGAAAATCAACATTTTTGTTATGATGTTGCACATCATATTTATGGGACTGCTTACTAATGTCATCATAACTTTGGTCATCCATTCAAAAATGTAGATAATAGTTATTTATGTCTAGAGAAATTCAATAGCTTTCAGAAAAAAAATTACAGCAACATTGAACAAGGTACATTTTAAGTAGTAAAAAGTGATGATAAAGCCTAAAAATTGCCACGCTCATTTTAGCAAATGTCATGCCAGCAAACTGAACCTTGCCTAACAGAACAGAAATTCTATCCTTGTGCCAAGTATTTTAACACAAATGCTTATCTGACACACTTACAAAAGTGTAAAAGCAATCGAGAATAATATAGATTTGTCTACCAGATAATGAATACTAACATTTTTTGGATTTCTACACTGTATAAATTATCTCATTATAATGAGTTACAGGGGAAAGAGTCCCAATCCTACCCTTTTCAGTAGGGCAAAAATGCCTTCAGATAGTGTATGTTTAGTGCATTTCTTACCATCAGTAGTGCAACATCCTTCTGGAGGAGGCTTCATCTGGTAAGAAACAGGACTACTTGATTCTGAGCCTTCTTCCTCCTCTTCTTCTTCCTCTTCCTCATTATCTGCTCTGCTGCCTGCTACAAATTATAATAGCATATATGACTTAGAAAACAGAAAATGCTGGCAACAAACCAGTGAATGAACAAGGTGACCCAGTTACAGAAAAGTGTTAGAGAAAATTGGATTCTCTCCTTTTGACAATGACTTCACCGTTGCCAACTCTTAAGATATTTGTTGTTTCCTTAAAGCTCCAACTTGCAGTCTTATTCTTATGCTTACAATAGAAAAACTTTAATAAAAAAATAATAAAAAAAAGAGAAAAAGAAAAAAAAAAGAAAAAAGGCTTTTAGCCCTTGTAAAAAATAAATAAATAAATAAATAAATAACACCAGTGCAGCTAAGTAAAAGTAAAACTAGGGACATAAATAAATAAATAAATAAGGGACAACGTGAAGGTGGCTTTTATTTATTTATTTATTTATATTAACTTCTTCATTTTTAAGCTAACCTCATGATTCTTGGAGTTCTAAATCCTGGTGCTTGAACTCGTTGATCAAAGCACTGTAACTGTATCCTTTGTTTATAACATTAACAGCCAAAATAAACCCCAATTCATTACTTCTTAGCACTTTTGAACATCCTGGCGACAGTCCAAGTACAGATTTTATTAACGAGGTACTGACCGTGTCCTTGATGACCTTGTCCTTGATGAAGAAACAGTTCCTGCTTAAAAGTAGGTTCACCACAGATGATATCAAGATAAGAATACCTAATTCTCAGGCAGTCTGTCTCCTGCCAGAATCCAGAGGTCTGAGTAAAGCACTGTCACTCCTTGTACAATGTCAAGGAAAGGCAGATGTCTAGGAAGACAATACACAGAGGTCTGTGCATGGACTGCACTATTCTAGGTGTTCCATACTGAATGCTTAGGAAAAGAATGAATCATTTAGGATTCTTTTTAAGGGGCATTTAGGTGTTTTCTATCCACATTCTCTGCTGTGAACCACTTTTCTGGTGTCCTGGTTACGTAAGTCAGCAATTTTACCTGATAGCTTTCTTGTTAAGAGAATTCACCTGCATAATCTTAATGTATTTTTCAGCCTTCCAGCTAGAGACTGCTTCTCTCCCTCTCTCTATCTGTGAGACAATCATTTTCCATGCATAATGCAACACCTCCAGCAAAACACACTGAGCAATGACTCCATCCTCTCTTGTGACTAGGACACACTCATAGCAAATGGGGAAAAGGTGGCAAGCAGAGGAGTACAACTAAATCGTCAATGGGGAGAACATTTCTGTGGACAGGACTTCGGAAAATGTCAGACTGGATCCAGCCTTACGTAAGACAAAGGTAGGGAAAAAGTACTAGATGAATCCATTGGGGCTTACATCTTGTCTTACAGCTTCTTGGCTTATATAGAGACCTGCCTGCAATACAAAGAGATTTCACTGGCAAAATTTGGTGGTGAAGGGCTGCTGGTATTTTATTTGAGGATCAAAGAGAAGCTGGGTATGCTAGCTGGACTTTAGCAGGCAGAATAGCAATTAGGGTCCTAAAATCTTCTGCTGATGCAGCTTTTAGTCTTTAAACAGAACAACACCAAAGCTCGCTGCAGTCATCCTCCAGAGCTCAATGCCAACTGGACGCATTCTCTGTGCTTCAACTGACTTTTTGGATCAGGCACTCAGAATCCCACAGAATATTCAAGGATTTTTTTTCCTATGACACTCCTCAGAATGTTTTTTTGTTGTTGTTGTTGTTGTTTTTGTTTTCTTCTATAGAGAAAGGATTGTAGACCTGGCGAAACAAATACTACAGAATAAATCAGAATTAGAAAGGATGTTTTTAGAAAGTAAATCTGGGTTTGAAAGTTTGTCTTTAAAGGTTACTAAGACTTAAATCCCAATCTAGAAGAGGATTTGAAAGGTATGTTTACTTTTAAATATCTAAACATCAAGCTTGGGTGCTGGTGTGCACAGATAAGGACAGAATGTTAAACACTACTGTTTAAGGGCGTAGTCCAAAGATAAAAATGCTGAAAGTGGACAAAGAGAAAAGCGAAGCTCTCCATCTTTGCTATTTAAAACAGGGATAAGTAATGTGTTATGACTTAACCTTGACTAACATCTAGATGCTATGAAAAAAGGGGTGAATCTGGCTCTCCTCTCTTTTCCTGCACTCCTGGCAGTGAAGATCCTTCTTTCCTCTTTGTATCAGCACTGACACTTACTGGAGCCCATGAGGAGTCATCCCAGCTTGCTAGCCCAGAAAAGCTAACCAGGCAAACAAAAATGACCTTTTCATTTTATTTTTATTTTTTTTACCAGGTTAATGTATTACGTATTTATGTATCAGTGCAAGATCCAAGAAATGCCAAAGCTGTTGGAAAGGCAGAAAATGGCTAGGAAAAATGGAGGAAGCAGGATGTGGGATTTCCCCCTTTGGCCACTGGTAAGCTGTTAGGTTTGCTCAGCCATAACAGGTAATTTCACTTAAAAAAAAAATAAAAAATAGAAGTGGAAACCAAGGAAGAGGAGAGCTGCAGCACTTTCAAAAGACAACAATGAAAAGAATACAAGAGTATGTATGTACTATTAATACACAAGAATGAAGTGCTGTCACCTGTATTGAGCATCATTAAGATTTCTGCTGCTTGTTTTAAAAAAGATCTACAGCTTCTGCTTCCCTTTTAAAACAATATCCCTCCAAGGACCTCTCTATTTTTATTTCTGCTCCATGTCTTTTTTTTAAACAATTCTTAAAGAACACAATCAAGCACTCAAAACCAGAGATAATATGGTAGCAGAGAGTCACAACCATTGTTCTTCTGTTGTATGTTGCAGAATGAAGCAGTCAGCTGATCTAACTTGTTATAACTCCATTAACCAACATTTTTTTGGTGAAGATTATGTCCATATTTTATTGAATTTAGATTTATTAATAGATACCATAAACACAATTGTTTTCTTTATTCTTCTCAGTTTCTTTAAAGAATTCTTTTCAGTTCTCATGAAAATTGATTAGATCTTTATGCTTATACAGTTGATGTATCTTAATTAAAATATATATATATATATGGAAAATTTCTTCTGCCCAAGTAGAGATCAGTAACAAGTGGCTTTTCTCAGGGGTCAGTATTGGGACAGGCACTGTTTAACATCTCTGTTGGTAAAATGGAGACTGGGATGGAGTGTACTCTTAGCAAGTTTGCCAGTGACACCAAGCTATGTGGTGTGGTCAACATGCTGGAGAGATGACATCCAGAGGGACCTGGACAGGCATGAGAGGTGGGCCTGTGCGAACTTCATGAAGTTCAACATGGCCAAGTGCAAGGTCCTGCATATGGGTTGCGGCAATCTCAAGCACAAGTACAGGCTGGGTGGAGAATAGATTGAGAGCAGCCCTGAAGAGAAGAACCTGGGGGTGTTGGTTGATAAGAAGCTCAACATGAGCCAGCAGTGTGCACTTGCAGTCCAAAAAGCCAGCCATATCCTGGGCTGCATCAGAAGAAGCATGGCCAGCAGGGCAAGGAGGTGATTCTCCCTCTCTGCTCTGCTCTCATGAGACCCCACCTGGAGCCCTGCATTCAGCTCTTGGGCTCCCAGCACAAGAAGGACGTGGGCATATTTGAATGAGTCCAGAGGAGGGCCACAAGGATGATCAGGGTGCTGGAGCACCTCTCCTATGAAGAGAGACTGAGGCAGCTGGGGTTGTTCAGCCTAGAGAAGAGAAGGTTCTGGGGAGACCTTACAGCAGCCTTCCAGTACCTAAAGGGTACCTGCAGGAAAGCTGGGGAGGGTCTCTTTGTCAGGGGGTCATAGTGATCAGACAAGGGGTAATGGCTTTAAACTAAAAGAGGGTAGGTTTAGATTAGATACAAGGAAGAAATTTACTCTGAGGGTGGTAAGGCATTGGCACAGGTTGCCCAGAGAAGCTGTGGATGCCCCACCCCTGGAAGTGTTCAAGCCATGTTGGATGGGGCTTTGGGCAACCTGGTTTGGTGGGAAGTGTCCCTGCCCACAGCAGGGGGTTGGAACTTGATGATCTTTGGTCCTTTCCAACCCAAACCATTCTATGATTCTATGTCAGAAGGCTGGAGTAAAGAAAAATAACAAGAGGGGAGAACAAGAGCTTATGCATAAGGATAGATCTCTGCTTTAGATGCTTTCTGTTCCTCTGAGTACAAAGATTCATAAATTGGAAGAACTGGAAATTTCTATTTATTGTGAGGCTAGAGTACAGGATGCCACATTGCAGACTTCTTCCACCTGAGGAACAACCTTGGATAAACTCTATTTCAGGTCCCTTCAGAGTCCCATTCACAGTTCCCTTTGTCTGAAACTTCTATGAAATAAATGTTCTCCATCAAGCTGTTGTGGGACTTTTAATTAATTACAGTTCAATTCTGTTGCCATTAACTGCAAAGAAAACAGAATCAGCCCCTCGTGATCTAAAAAGTTGTCTGAAAGAAAGGAGTTACAGAAGTGTGAAATTGCACTTTTGTTCCTGAACAATGCGTCTGCTCCTGTAGCAGCGTTCCCAACTGATGTCAAAATCCATTTTGTGACATCACAGTTGGTTGCCATGGAAAGGTTTATGAAATTTTCTTAGAAGGATTTGATAGAAGGATCACTTTGTGTAATGAAAAAGCATCATAAATATTTAAACAATGAATGTATATCAGGTGTATGTCCTACGCTAGGGGGAAAAACAAAAAAAATGTTTAATGATGTGTGAGCGGTGAGCAGAGTTATTTCTTTAAGGAATATTTTCTCAGCAGTTACAATGAGGTAACAGTAAAGGGTTTAATACATGCAAAGTATTTTTTTTTTCAATTACCATTTATTTTTGTTTGTTTGTTTTGTTTTCTGTTAGTGTGGATTGTTAATCATTATGGGTTCTGCATTACATGTTTCTGAGCTATCTTTTGCGAGTTATGACAGCATAAGTAGACCTGGTCAAAAGAAATGAAACACCACCCTGATGACAGAAAAGGATAAATAATAAAATTATTAAACATAACCTTGCACAAGCATGCCAGAGTTCTGCACACACCAGTAAACTCACAGCACACCTCTAGAATACACATATTAGAGGACACCAAAGTACCAATGAGTTTGCTTGCCAGTTTGTCTAAATCATACTACGTCAAAGAAAAAAAGACCGAACAAAGCAAAATCAGAAAAAAGACATCTATAAAAACACACAAAAAGTCACATATATACTAACTGGAGCTAACATATCCTAAAGGTTTGTACCTTTGCAGCAACAGAATAACTAAAAAAATCATGCCCAAAGTAATCATAAACCTTCTTTATAACCAACTAAAATAATTCTGTTGTATTTACTTCTGCTGTATTTATTAATGAAAATTAATATACTTAATACTCTTACTATATCTCATTTATAATTCTGTCACATATTTACCATTATTTACTGTATAATTTTCAGTAGTGTATGATAAATTATAGGATGACAGATCTATGTTCCAAATTTCCAAAGATTTCTCCAAACACTTAAAGGAAAAATTCACAGTAAATCTGAGTAAGCAGATGACTTAATTTTGTCAAAATAAAAGACAATGCATTTAATATCTTAATCAAATTCTAATACACATATTTATATACATTTTTAGATCATAAAATATCCAAACAGAAACTTTCAATGCTTTTGTTTTTCTGTATTCTAATTTAAAATGTTTGTGCTGACCGTTGGGAGAGCAAACAGCAGAATTGTCTTTGAGCAAAAACATAAATTCCTACCTTCCAGTGATGACAGTTGCTGTTCTGCTTCCAAATACAACTGAGAAAAGATTGGTCTGGGAACTAAGTTATTTGAGCGCAGAGAGGCCTCGATAGAATTATGCAACACTTCTTCAAACCTTGTTGTCTTGAGCTGACCAGCATAAGAATTTCCCATCTTCTCAAACAAAAAGACAAGGAAAAACACAACAAAAACACACAAACAAACAACAACAAAAAAAAAAGATTTCAATTTTAGTACTCAAAACTCAATCACTGCACGTTGATGTCAGGCTACACCATTTCTCATGAAAGAGAGAAGCTTCACTGCCCACAAAGAAAGGCAAAGGAAAAGAACATTGACTGCCGCAGTCACTGTGCTGATCCTGGTGGTAAATTACAGGAAGTTATCTAAAAGTAACAGCTTTCTGTAATTCAGCAGAAAGGCAGCAAACTTTGACACTTAGAAGCCTGATTCTAGTAATTCCTTCGTTTATATAGCAATTGAGGAGATGCATTTTCAACAGTCAGCAATCTCACCTGTAAAACAACCTCTCTGTTTTGCATGATTTGAACAGAATAAATTGTAAAGGATTTGGGGAATAGTGCAGTTCTGTGTATATACCTTTGCATAGCCCACCACAGCTGAAAACTCACAGCTAAAGCAGTTCAACATATATGTTGTTAATCTTGGAAGTACAATAGCATTGCACTAACATATCCTAAAAGATAATGGCTTTTCCTTCTCACCTTAAACAATATTTTACCATATAAGCAAACTTTTTTTCATTCTTTTTTTTTTTTTTTTTTTAAGATAAAGACACATCTATTTGATTTTGCCTTTCATTATTAGGATTTTATTGCTAGTGAAACAAAATAATTTACTCAGACTGTCACTGAAGAGTCAGTCTATTCCAGCTGAATATCCCAGCATTTACTTCCCACGTATTTAACTGCCGCCTGCTTTCCACAGCGAATACAATGACCTGGTATAACCAAAAGCCATGCCAGCTTTCTTTTTCTGTCACAAAGTAGCTCTTGCCCTGGGCCCCATGTCCTCTCCCTCCTCAAGTAACTGTGAATAGAAAGCATGAAACGCTTCCTGTTTGTGGCAGTAATTCCTAAAACACTGAACAGCCCCTCCTCAGCACTGGATACTGCTTGGGAAATGAGCCTGTTGGGAAGCATCCTGTAGGAATCAGTCAAGCAAAAGAAAAACTACTTTGAAATCACATGCTGCTTTTGTCAGGAGGAGAAGCAGCATACAAATTTGAAAGAAATAACACACAAATTTGATAGTTTGGATATATTTTTATGACTTTACAAAGCCACTATACATATATAATCATATCTCTGTATACTTTTTGTACCATTTTAATACTATATATATAACTATACATTATATATGGTGTTATTAGAAACATAATGAGAATTATATAACTATTCAGGGAGCGCGTATGAACATGATCATGGAGCAGGCATTACTGAAAAAACAGGTTTATGTACACAAAAGCCAACTGAAGAAATTTAGTGTGCAGCACTGATGTATCCCTGTTTGCTGAAGGGTACATGGGAAGCCACAACACATGTTAGCTAGGTTCAGTGCTAACATGCAAGTGATGCATCTCCTCTTCCAACACAATCAGCTGACAATTCCCTCTGGCTCCTCTAGTTTCAAATTTTCACTGCTGCTTCACCTACACCAAGCCCAGCTGAAGACAACGAGGAAAGTCTGAATTCAGTATTGTCCCTAAAAAGCTTTATGAGAGATGTATGCAATAAAACATGTCTAAATGTTAATGTCTAAAGTGAATTATACCCAATAGTGTTTCTACACAAAGGCACTACATGATATTTAGTTCTAATTCTAATCCATTTTTCAAGCTCTATGTAATAAAGACAAATAATCAAGATACCTGACAGATTCCTATTTCATTCTTCTCTAAAATCCCTCCCCTTATTATGAACTAATATTTTCTCTTATTAGGTTGGAGACATATGGTTTGTCAGGGACCTGTCTGCTCATTTTCAGGGTCAGGTATAGTATGGTGCTATGTGACTGTTCATCACAGTCTTGAAATTCTAGACTAAAGAGAAATAAAAATGCATGAATGGTTAACTCAGTATGGTTAATATTCAAAGCTACACTTTCAGGAATAGAAACACCATTTAGATATCATGAATTCCACAGAGATTTTACATAGACTGCTTTATTAAGCACAGAGCCACAGTAAGAAAAAATCATGTAAGATCCAAAAGATTTTTATACTTAAAAATAATTACACAGCTCTCAGATGATATTCAAAAGTTTGACTGCAGTTGCAGAGGCTAGTCTTACAAAGGGCTGTATTTTACCCATTCTCAACATGACTATGCACAGAAAACTGCTGTACCTGATTTTCAAACTTACTTCTTAAAAGAGCTTCTTTAAAGCACATGAGAAATAGTAAGTTTTTTAATTCATCCAGAGTAAGACACAATATTTTGAGACAACTCAAAAGCATTACTACATAAATTTGCACTAAGAGCTGCTTTACACAATGAGGCATGGAGGCTTACTTGTTTTACTGATTACTATCTGCATCTATTTGTGATGAATGAGAAAACACCATGACATTCCAGTTTATAAGCTTTATCCCATATGTACAGACAGATATTATTCCGTACAGTTTATTAGATACAGCATTTACTGGTATCTAACATATTTGCCTAGGACTTATAGAGATCACTAGTGGACATGTTAGAAAACCTATCTTTAAAGCTGTGGATGACAAAAAACAGTATCTTGTTGAAGATTAAGCTATTCATGCAATATACAGATCCTGAAATCTTTCACAACATAATTAAGTTTATCCATTGTGGTGCTAATTTTGAATGGTTTTGTACAGTGAAAAAAAAAAAAAGTACTTTCTGGATTTGTACATGTGGTAAGCTCTTGTGTACCTGTGGGATCTTACCCTGTGAAATACACTCTGTGAAATTACACTGTGAAATTACACTGTGAAATACACTCATAAATTCAGGAACATACTTTGGAAGACATGAAAAATATTTTAGAGCCATTTTGCATCATCAAACACACACCACTGGAACCAGAAAATGCCCGTTGCAGGAGATTTGCCAGCATCAGCCTTTGCCATTCAGAATCCCAGTAGTTCTCTCAGTTGTGGGAGAGATGACTTCTGTGCAGCAAACAGGGGAGAAGCTGTTTCTCACTAGCACTGTGATGGTTGTCATCCCCTTTTCTTTAAAGCCTCCCAGACTGTGGTACCTGAATTGTAAATTGCTGACTCTGTGGCACCAGGAAGCAAAGGCTTTGAGTCCTATTCTCCTGCTTCAATGAGCTCAGCGTTCCCAGCCCAGATTTATGTCTCTCTTGGATACAAGTGGGTGGCACAGGCTGAAGTTTCAAATGCATGTGAAATTCCAAGCCATGAACATAGATGGTGACCTGAACTATTAAAAAAAAATCACAGTGCACAACAGAAGGATAGTCCTCGACCCCATCTACTGATAAATCAAAAAGCACCTCCATATCGCAGTCAATATTTGCCAATACAAAGGAAAGAAAAAAAAAAAAAAAAAGGAAAGAAGACCTGGAAAACCATGATAAAAGAAGAAGGGAAAAAAAAGTGCTCTGAGGGTGCACATGGGTGCCTGAGAAACAACTGTAGATGTAATTGGACTGGGTCAGGTCAGTGTGTTAGAAACCCACACATAAATGCTGCCAAAGAACAGTGGCAAATCCAGGCAGCTGAAAACGCTTGTAAAAGTACATTAGTCTAAAAATAAAAAGTAGAAGTATGTTTGTCTAAAGAGAGCAGCTCTCAAATTCCAAGCAAGGAACTGTCAGGGTTCCTGTGGTAAACAGTGGTTATACAACTAGGGAAAACAGAGATCTGCTTAAGGGTTAATGTCAGATACAGGCTGTCAGATGCAGACTCAACTTCAAGTTCAACTGCAGCTGAAATAGCCAGGTTTTGAAGAAATTCTGCTATGGCTTCGTACTCCAGCTGATGCGATTTAGAAAAGAAGTTCCACCTCAGCCACGAGGACAATACCATGTCTGGTCACATTAACACAAAGGACATACAGTCCCATTCCCTAGAGTGGAGGTGTTTGGAGAGAGATCTTTTGATTAATGAAATGACAACTGTAACACCCTGGTGACTTTTCAGTTGCAGTTGCCTGTACTAAGGAGAGACAAGATTTTGTGAAGACTGAAGATCTAGCACAGTAACTCTGGACAGAATTTATCCTACACCTAGGACAGAATGGGTATCACAGAATCAAAGATTGGGTTGGGCTGGAAGGGACCTCTCGAGGTTTCCTAAGGAAAATTTAGAGCACAGAAATTAATCTGGCGCTTTTGACAGTTGTCATTGAAATAAGACTGTTAGAGAAAGTCTGGTTTTAACAGAAACCGAGAAAAAGCAAATATATGGATGCTGTGTTAAGAAGTCTTGAAAAAGACATCAAGGGATCTAAGAGTGAAATTAGGAAGCCATGGTTAATCATTTAGTTGAGAGGTCTGAAGGGAAGAAAAGGGGAATAGATCCCCAGTTTTCAAGTGTGATGGACAAATAATAAAAAATAAATAAATAAAAATCAGTCTTACATAGGACTTGCAAATTATTACAAGAGGAAAAGTTTTACATTAAATTACATCTTTTTGCATTTTAAAGTTTCATTGACATTTCTACTTTATTAATTTTATGTGATGAGAAATATTCTCTGATAGATAAAAGAAATTAACATCATACATTGAGTAACAATAGCTGAACCACTACTATTCTATTTAATTTTAAATTCCGAACAATATTAATTTCCTTTCTCAGGCAACATGAAAAGATTTCTGAGATATTTTTAGCCATTTTAGATATTTACAATACAGAAGGTGTTCATATCAGACCAAAGCAGTATAGAAATGGATACATTTTCCCATTTTGAGCACTGAGCATTCATACTTCCGAAACAGCCTAATAAAATAAGTTCTATTAAATCATATTTTTATGGAAGACTGGTACGATGTCGTCAAGCCCATTATTATTTCAAAATCATTTGTCATTGCTATCACAAGAGGCAGTTCATAACTTGTATAAAATTAGGTTTTCTTTGTATAAATTTTGGTTTTAAGTATTCAAAAAGTATTAATATTTGTCTGAGAGGAGACTGCAG